GAAAGCCTTATTGTGAAGAAAAGAATGAAGATAAACGAGAGGAAATTTGGTGCTAGTCCACTACAATCATTCCGAGGTGCACACACCTCCAAGCACTCATTCAGGCAATCTGGATAGAAAATGACGCCGACAGCACGCAAACGTTTCGTGATTTCTTTCATACCCCTCTTCCAATTCAACAGTCGGTCACCTCTCTGCTTCCTTCATTGTGAATTGGGCATGAAAAGCAGCACTCTCTTCGGAAAACGGTGGTTCGGCATACGCAACACATGCCCCAACCAACACTGCTTCTGGTGTTGGACACATTCTTCAATGGAAGTTCCTGTTGCGCAAAAGAAAACTCGCTTTCTAATTGCCCCGTTTTGGATTCGCCGACACCAACCCCCACGAGCCATGGTTCTGAGACAACGATTGTCGAACACATGAAGACATCTCAGTTCCGCTGCTCGAACAGGCAAAGTCTCAGCCCTACAAAATAGCCCGCACTGTAGCTTGATACACACGTCCCTTAAGATTCAGGGATGCACCACTTTGATGTCATAGGTTTCTCAAATAGCAAACACGACCCGGGCCTTGCAGATTTGTGCACTGACCTCAAGTGTCACACTACGATCAGAACTAATACAACTTCCAAGATGGGTAAAACGCTCCACAAATTCCAGTGCCTCCCCCTGGATTGTAAGTGGCGCTTTCAGTGGCTGCATGTCCACGATCATGACCTTACACTTTGTGGGTGCATAGTGCATACTAAAGGATGAGACGACTTTGGTCAGTTCATCCAAAAACACTTGTGCCCTCTACTTTTCGAAGATGGGACCGATGTCGTCTGCTTGTTCCATATTGACAAGATTTTTGTCACTGGCTATTTAAACACCGGGGTTTTGGAGACCTTCCAGCGTTCCTCTCATTATTTCGCAGATCAAAGTTCGAAGTATTCAGCCCACCACTCGAGGTTTTCTTCTTTATTCGAGATGTTCACTCCATTCTGATCCTTGACGATTTCGCTCACAGCTGGTTTCCGGGGACCGGTTGCACGCATGAACCGAAATATCTTCGGGCATTACTCTTTTTGTGGGTCTGCTTCATTCCCTTGGCTTTTTGTGTCCACCACACTTCACGGTCGGCTTGCAGGCTCACACTCAATTTATGTTCGGGGCCGGCTGGCATATTTTTGCGATATTCAAGTGATTCCACTGTTCGGTCTGATACCTAGTGCTTGAGGGCGCCAGGTGGTGCCGTGCCACAGGCGAAATTCCCAGCACTATGCAAAGAGTTGGCAATCTCGTCCCAGTATGAATTCACATCTGATGATAGAGCATTGGGAAGAGACTCTAAAAGACAATTCTGGTAAGTTCATCTAACGTCCGGATCTGTGTGTTTCACTTGTCAAGCGATTTGTCCGCACCTTACGCGGCACTAGAAAAAGTAGGGAGTAGTGACCCCGGATGAGCACGTGGTCGGAATCCGCAGATGTGTTCCAAAACGACCGACAGTCAGTTATTGATCCACGCCATCGGTAACTTCTGGCAATGTGGTCTATTTGAGTTTGTGGCCGGCCTGCCGTTTGAGTACCCATGTGGCAATCGTTCCCCATTGTCCTTACGTACCGAGTCCAGTCCATGTCGACCTCCTAGTTGGGTCACAGATACGCTTAGCCTGCCCACTTGCTCATTCATATCCCCGGCAACCACCTCAATGTCTGAGCCCCTGGGCATCCAGAGTGTTGTGGAACCTGTCTTTGACGGCGTCGGAGCTACAGTTATTTGGGCAAACACGATAAATAGACATCTATCAACTTGCCGCTTGTGAGACTCCTTCACTGACGTTGCCAGACGAACCGCGCAGAGGCGACTATCAACAGGTATCCAGTCAAACAAGGATACTTCCGCCCTGCATCTCCCGCCGCAACAGCCTCTGGATCACTAGAGGTGTGCAGCCGTAAGCGATTGGAGACTGATGGGGCGGTTGGCCCAACCACTGTGCTTGTATCTTGAATACGGCAGTGAAGCCTCGGTGTTGAATACTAATGTCTTGTTGTCGATGATGATGATGATCTTGAACTCTTTTTTTCTGAGACAGCACACATCAATGCCAAGCGAGTCCAGTGTGAGAGCGAGGGCAGCGTGTTGTCCTGTGTGCTTCAGAGTGCGCAGATTGAAGGTGGTCAGATAGACTAAGCGCTGAAGCTTGAAGGTTGATTTGGAGATACCTGAGAATGTCGGCGCCATGTGGCGGGCACACAGTGTTGCACGCAAAACCGATGCGAGACGAATGGAGTCATCAGTTCTAAGTGCTATACTTACCAGAAGAGAGTTATCAATGGGATGAGAAGAGGGGGAGGAAAAAGTATGTGAAATAGAAAGAAGGGAGACGTCAGCAGTAGCCTGTTTCCGCTTATCCGGCCTCCTGTATGCAGCGAGTAAGGCGACCCGGCTGATGGCACCACGCGACGGTTGATATGACATGAGTTTATTTGGATATATGCAGCTCATGGTTGCACGTGTGCTGGGATACTGTCAGGGCGCCCACACCTAGACAGGAAGACGATTAGGGTCCTCAACCAAAACCTTTGGCTCAAAAGCCTAACCGCAAGGCAGCGGTGTTTGGCGAGAAATGCAAATGCATTACCATTTCTACGGAACAAGTCGCCACATGTTCCAACCCCCAACCTGGAGGGCCAGGAGACTGTGTTCGTCAGACCTCTAACCATTGACCGACCTGGTATGAGAGACTCTGTGAGTGTCGCGGGCACACCTCCCAATATAGCTCAATGGGTCACGGAGATGCGCAAACCTTCACCGTACGGTAAGGTTCAGTCCCTTCGTGACGAGATGCACCCAAGCTATTTCTTTTAATACATAAATCCCCTCCCAATCTTCCTAACCGAAAATTCTACTGACAGCCCTGTGTTTACGCAACACATATCAACTACCGCTTCTAGTGCGCAACTACCTACCTCATCTCCCTAATTCATCAGTGGCAGCTAGAACCACTGTACAGCAACTACGTGGTTCATACAACTGATGACAAATGGTTCCTAGAGACCGATGCTCCAGCCTTGGGTGTTTTCTCACATCCTTTGTTCGTCTGTTTAAAATTCCTTCTAATTAATACATTTGTGTACTTCGAGCTTACACTGATTTACTGTTTATCGGAATTCCATTTCGTTGGCAGAGCCACCAGAACCTAAGTTGCACCAGATCCATCGCACTAAGTGTCTATCCTTTCCTTTTATTTCCATTCTTTACCAAGACTTGCAAGCAAGTTAGGCGACAGTATGTATTAATGGTGTGTTGCTCTTAGTGATTGTGTGACGGTGAAAAGCCGAGTTCGTCTCGATACCCTGTTTTTTTAGAGTTACTCATTTTGGTTTGACAGTATGTTGGGTTTCTAGGAATTAGTGTACGGTATCTTGAAGCGGTGTGATACAGATGATTTTAACGTTGGGTGCAACAACTAGAGCTGAGAACAACTTCTCATTACTTCGAAATTAACCCGGTCGTAATCTCGACTCGAGGTCCGCGCCTGTGGAGTGCTGGTAGGATAGTATGAAAATTGAACGAAGGCAGACTGTGGTCGTTATGGTAGAAGGTACTCTCACTAGTTTGTCAGCAAAGTGACTCGTTGGGTAGGACTAATTCGGATACCGTTGTTTACTGTCCAGAGAGCTACATGTTGGTTTTTTTTAACATGTTTCGTCCGTTCGCTTCGTTGCACGACCGGAATCAACAGTTCTGTGAGGTTTTTACACGACCTAGTGTGGTAGGGTCCAATCTAGGGCGCTTAAGGAGCGTTGGAGTCAACTATCCACAGATTAACTTTGCTATCTATTCAATGAAAAGTTGTGAACTTTAGTGATTCCCCCTTTAAGGATGACCTCCACGCCCCCTCTTTCTGTTCAAACATAATCGGCTACCAGAATGAAATTTTTTGAAAATAAATCGTTCAGCGGTAGCATCCCTTCGTACCTAGCTGCCATGTCGCCAGGTTGTCCAAGCCTAGACAGGAGAAGTCGAGTAGCAGAAGTGGATTTGAACCGCGGACCTGTTGGCCAGTAAATTCGCGCTCTAACCACTGAACCATCTCGCTACCAGAATAAGGTCTCCTCGACTTCCTCTTCTTCATCCGCTCTCGTTTAGAAGTTTGACGCCTGTGTTCTAGCCTCCTGCTACCGAGTGTAATAGTTTTCTTAGTCGTCTTCCCCATGAATAACTACCCGTATAGTTCGCTTTTGTTTTGTGTTTTTCAGATTTTCGCAGTTCTTTATCTTTGAGGCTCACTTTGGACGTCCTCGTTTTGTGCATGGCTGAATTTTCGGATTTTTACCTGGACGTAGATTCCGATCTTCCATTTGCCGTTCTTGTTTTAGCTTACCTGATGACCGTTACTTTTAGTCAGTCTGTTACTGTGGGCTCCCTCTTTTCGTGTAAATATCTCAACATGGAAATGAAAACAATGCGAAATACGTTGAGAGAAGACTTAGTACGGTTGTATGGTTCTAACACATGAAAAGGTCCAGAAGTAATGCTGACAAACAGGGCCAAGCCCACCATAATGTGACAAGTTCATTCGTTCATCTAGACGAGTGTAAGCACTAGATCTCTGCCAAACGGCCCCACGTGACCAACAATGCTACTTGACCCCTTCCTTTCCCATTTCTTATAACTGGAGGTTTTACCAAATCGACCTAAACTACGAAACCATAACAACGAAACATCGCCGTTCAAAACTGACGTTGCTTTCGAAGATGCCTATGGAGTCGGCTGCTGCTTCTATTGGGGATTTTCCCACTTATCGGTTCATCAATAGAGATCACGAATGATACTCGATGCGATTAGATCTCTCCTAAACTTTCGACATAGTTTTATGACCTTTGGTCAACCCAGTATGATTACAACTCAAGATACTTTTTAAATTTCTAGTTGATATTAATGTATCAAAATATTGTTGATATTCCAATTCAACGCTGCATTGATTATTTTTTCAGCTTGACATAAAGAATGTCCTTAGCAGAAGAACTTTTAGCAGACTTGGATGACGCAGAAACAGCGGAAGAACACATTGCAGATGGCGCTGACGACGAACTGGAAGATGTGAGCATGACTCTTGGCACCGATGGCTCCTTCGTGCTTCCTGTCGATGATAAGCCGACGAGTTCGGTCAAGTCCATGACGTTTTCAAGTGCACCAATCACTGCGTTTGCCAAACTCCGTCATTCCGAGAAGGTTCGTTTCTAAACCCACATTCTTGTCCCAAAATGGATTTTGGTTGTACCGTTGCCCACTCCTCTAAAGAGACCGTCTCTCAGGAGAGATCGCTCTCCGTCCGTCCTCCCAGATTGTCTCTCGAGTCGTCGGTGGCTTTTGTCAGTGTTTCACTTTGTTGAATTGCTTACGATGTTCTGCTCGATCGTCAATATTAGCTACTCACACTGGTTTTATAGTGTGTTGCCAACCAAACGTTACCGCTATGACTGTTTGACCGTTCGTGCTTCTTTCTTTTGCTAAGTTTCGTATTTGAAATGAACACCGTGAGTGTAAATGGGGAGTCTGGAATCGTTTGCCTATTTTTAGAACGGTCAGGTCCTAACGAACAATTCTGCCCTTCGTAGTATTTCACTGAGATTTCATTTTCTCTCTGTGTTTAGCCAACTGAGCTATCCGGACTTATAGGTTGTGTGAGCGGCACCATGATGGTGGTTGAACTGTCGCTCCACAGAATAAGGTCTCCTCGACTTCCTCTTCTTCATCCGCTCTCGTTTAGAAGTTTGACGCCTGTGTTCTAGCCTCCTGCTACCGAGTGTAATAGTTTTCTTAGTCGTCTTCCCCATGAATAACTACCCGTATAGTTCGCTTTTGTTTTGTGTTTTTCAGATTTTCGCAGTTCTTTATCTTTGAGGCTCACTTTGGACGTCCTCGTTTTGTGCATGGCTGAATTTTCGGATTTTTACCTGGACGTAGATTCCGATCTTCCATTTGCCGTTCTTGTTTTAGCTTACCTGAGGACCGTTACTTTTAGTCAGTCTGTTACTGTGGGCTCCCTCTTTTCGTGTAAATATCTCAACATGGAAATGAAAACAATGCGAAATACGTTGAGAGAAGACTTAGTACGGTTGTATGGTTCTAACACATGAAAAGGTCCAGAAGTAATGCTGACAAACAGGGCCAAGCCCACCATAATGTGACAAGTTCATTCGTTCATCTAGACGAGTGTAAGCACTAGATCTCTGCCAAACGGCCCCACGTGACCAACAATGCTACTTGACCCCTTCCTTTCCCATTTCTTATAACTGGAGGTTTTACCAAATCGACCTAAACTACGAAACCATAACAACGAAACATCGCCGTTCAAAACTGACGTTGCTTTCGAAGATGCCTATGGAGTCGGCTGCTGCTTCTATTGGGGATTTTCCCACTTATCGGTTCATCAATAGAGATCACGAATGATACTCGATGCGATTAGATCTCTCCTAAACTTTCGACAGAGTTTTATGACCTTCGGTCAACCCAGTATGATTACAACTCAAGATACTTTTTAAATTTCTAGTTGATATTAATGTATCAAAATATTGTTGATATTCCAATTCAACGCTGCATTGATTATTTTTTCAGCTTGACATAAAGAATGTCCTTAGCAGAAGAACTTTTAGCAGACTTGGATGACGCAGAAACAGCGGAAGAACACATTGCAGATGGCGCTGACGACGAACTGGAAGATGTGAGCATGACTCTTGGCACCGATGGCTCCTTCGTGCTTCCTGTCGATGATAAGCCGACGAGTTCGGTCAAGTCCATGACGTTTTCAAGTGCACCAATCACTGCGTTTGCCAAACTCCGTCATTCCGAGAAGGTTCGTTTCTAAACCCACATTCTTGTCCCAAAATGGATTTTGGTTGTACCGTTGCCCACTCCTCTAAAGAGACCGTCTCTCAGGAGAGATCGCTCTCCGTCCGTCCTCCCAGATTGTCTCTCGAGTCGTCGGTGGCTTTTGTCAGTGTTTCACTTTGTTGAATTGCTTACGATGTTCTGCTCGATCGTCAATATTAGCTACTCACACTGGTTTTATAGTGTGTTGCCAACCAAACGTTACCGCTATGACTGTTTGACCGTTCGTGCTTCTTTCTTTTGCTAAGTTTCGTATTTGAAATGAACACCGTGAGTGTAAATGGGGAGTCTGGAATCGTTTGCCTATTTTTAGAACGGTCAGGTCCTAACGAACAATTCTGCCCTTCGTAGTATTTCACTGAGATTTCATTTTCTCTCTGTGTTTAGCCAACTGAGCTATCCGGACTTATAGGTTGTGTGAGCGGCACCATGATGGTGGTTGAACTGTCGCTCCACTTGTGTGTTCCTTTTTCGTACGTGCGGGGAAAGTGGACGCACTACATCTACAAGTGAACGGATTTTACATCCGAAAAGCGCTTCTGCGGGTGAGTTGTTGTTTGGCACATTTGGGTTAGGTGGAAGAAATGCGTTCCGGTACACGTGGCAAATCATCTCCAGCTTTGGTTGACCATTCTCCTGGACTTTAATTTTTCAATCAAATACCAGTCTACAGATACCAATCACCAGGCAGACGTCTTATGAAGATTGATGGACTCACAATGACAACCGGCAGAAGACACGGTTGTGGCTTCCATTTCTTTTGAGTCGGAAATTTGCGCCGTACTGCATCTATCCTTCTAGTTACTTCAGCAATGGTCCGGTACGAAACCAGATGTGACCCCGCACTCCAACAAGTATGACACCATCACCGAACACGCTGGCTATCGTCAGTGACGCGTGACATTCACTCATTATTCCACAGGCGATTTCCTATTTGAAGTCGATGGTTGCCTTCTCTTTGGTGAACGTGTTATACTACCAAACTGCAAGCGCGGGTACTAAGACAGTTACATTTTCGACACCCAGGCATCAGCCGCATGAAGCCTTGCCGCGCAGTTATGTATACTGACCGGGTATGGACAAACAGCTAGAATAACTTGTGCAGTCCCGTACCAAATGTCAGTGTTCTGCAAAATCGCCGCGGAAGACCGAGTTATCCTCTTGGCCTGCATCAACTAACCCTTGGTTGCGTCTACAAGATGCTTTTACTGGACCAATCGACAATCAGCATTATCTTATCATGGTTGACACTTGCAGTAAATTGCCGGAGGTAATCATGATGGATCACATCACTTCTCGCTCCACAGTCTTGCAGCTCGCCCGAATCTTAAGTCGCTTGGGCACACCAGAAACATTGGTTTCAGACAAAGCAGTGCATTTCCCTCGGGGGAATTCACCTTGTTTTGCAAGTAATATGATATTCAACACGTTATATCACCGCCACTCCATCATCAGTCTAACGGTTGGGCCGAACGTTTTGTGGGCACCTTTAAATGAGCACTTCAAAAACTTATAGGGGAGAGAACACCAGCTGAGGTTATTGAAACCTTGTTAAGCTACTGTGCGACACTTAACCCAAATATGCCAAACAACAACTCACTCACAGAAGCGCCTTCCGGGCGTAAAATCTGTTTACCCATAGATGAAGTACGCCCACCTCCTCCGCACGTACGGAAAAGCAACACACATGCAGTGACAATTCAACCACCATCATGGTGCCGCTCACATCAACTATAAGCCTGGATAGCTCAGTTGACTACAACAGAGAAAAAAATGAAATTTCAGTGAAATACTACGAAGGGCAGAATTGTTCGTTATGAGCTGACCGTCCTAACGCTTATTCCGTCACTTGAATTTTTTGCGGGACTACTTGTGCTAGCTGCTCCCAACCAAATTGTCTTCAACTTACATATTGGGCTTGCACCCGCTTCTTTATTTGCCTGTTGCATCGAAATAAGCTGGTGGACAGGTAGTACCACGTTCGATTTGCGTAGTACAACTATCTAAACGCCATTTCCTGGGTACAAATTTGGGAGAATGAAACCGGGGTCGAACAAGAGAGGGACTTCTAATTGTCTACTCATTTTGAACAGCTTAGCATTTGAGACTCATAGTGTATGCGAAGGGTTACCACGTCACTCGTAAGATCTATTGTAACCATACATTTCTAATCTGTTGGCTGACACTCACTTTCGTCAATACGGCAGTGATTGCAAGAGGAAACTTGTATGTCCACTTTGAGCAAACTAGCGGCCGAGCTCAGGTCACACTCGCATGTCGTGCTGTTGTTAGCCACGGTGTTTGTAGTGATGGTCACCGAAAGTAGCGAAATAGGCCTAACATAGATAGCCACCAAGGCATATTGTCCACAGAACCGGTGACCTCCATTGTTTAGAAGTTAGGTTCGGAGCACACTCGTATGGCTGAGTACAGCCAAGAGCGACATGGAGGAACTCGATCACTACCTTCTATACGGAGCCCGTCACTAGAGCTGACACGAGATCGCGACTTACGCAGATGTTGTCAGGTGATTGCCCAGCTTGTGCAGAATTTATCCCAGACCTTCATAAAACCGACTAATCCTGTCTTAAGAGTTAGCCATCCGAAAGTAATCAGTTTTTGACTTTTCGATATAGAGTTTTGACGATCCCATATATCAAGAAAAAAATTGGTTTCGGAAGTCTACGTACTAGTTACACACAATCAAGCACAAGATTTTACTAGCTTCCTCGGTTGGCACTTCGTTAGCACACGTACAGTATTGTGACTGTCTGCTGAGACGAGATTAGTCCGTTTCAGAAATACACTACTGTCCATACACGGTGATCGGTTGGCAGGTCTGCATAAACCGCGCTGTCACCATACTGGCATCTGCCAATATCAACTAGCCGAACTGGTATAAAATTCCGTGAATCCGTCAACTTTTGGCTAACAAATCGTTTTAAATGTTGGTCCGTTTCGTTCCTACAGTTATCCAAAGTGATGTCTGATCTGGATTACTATTCCAAGAAACCAAAACGCGACAAAATCCATGGGCCGGTTGAGTCTGACCCGGAATACCAGTGCATCGTAGAAGCAAATAACTTGATGGTGGAGATAGACAACGAAATCAGTGAGTTTGCCTGTCTTTCTTCGTCAGTGATCGTCCTCTTACTTGGTGGTACTTTTCCCAGAAGCATCATATTACTATACGCCTGTATTATAGTGTCAGTATCGACGTTTTAGGCGCTATCACAATATATAGGACATATGAAGCTTGATCAATCAAATAAAAATCCACATTGTCTGGTAGGTGGCTTAGGAGTTTTTCGGCTGTCTAAAGTCGGAATCTCCCAGTTGAAGCTTTGTCCTGGAAGTAAGATCAGTCTGTGTCGCAGAGTTGAGAAGCTCCGTACAACTGTTTCACACTTGCTGGGAATCACCAGCAGTGCGCAACCTCCAAGAAAACTCGAACTGGCAACCTCCTAGCTAGTGGAGGACTAAAAATTTACGTCATGAGCTGCAGATCAGCAGTGTAATTAACTCGTACTTGGGCAGTACAGAGCGCCACTCATTCTTCAGTCACAGATCACATCATGATTTTACTGCCTTTCAGGGTTGCTTCTTACCGGAGAATGTATGTTCAGCTAGAAGCCAACTGTTTCTCAAATTTATGGTAATATTCCAGGACCCATTGTCTTAGGACATACCTTCTGGGATTCAACTAGGCCGTCTGATGTTTCAACGTGCTTGACCTATTTCAAAGATTGTGTTGTCTCCAAAGCGTGTCTAGGGGAATCTGCATGGATTTGAATCTAAGAGTGTTTTCACTTGTGGCGATATAATGGTGGATCACCGGTCTGGTGGCCATGTCTACTTGTGATTTGTGCTCTGCCCTGTTTAAGATATCCGTTGTTTGTGCTGTCACCAGGTTTTCAAACAACCGTTTCTCAGAACTGTAGTTTATATGGACTGGCTTCGGAGAGTCCGAAAGGATCTGGTTCGGAGCCAGGTATCTGGTGACGCGATAAAGTGGTTCGGTTGTGTAGTGCATGTATACGCCCGTCGTCTACCAACTACGATACTGCTTTGGGTAACGTTATTTGACAGAAAAGTATGAAAGTGTCGTAGACACTGTTTGTCTTTTATAGGATAGAATAGTGTCTGCACAATTCTCCTTCCCCTCGACCAAAGGTAGTTGGGTTGACCTTTGGCGGCTGACTTGCCTCTAATTTGTTACCGACATTCCCTCCAACCTATACCGCCATTGATTACGCCCCATCAGGTTTTGAGGGGAAAAATGTTGTAACAACTGTGTGAAGACAACCAGTCGTTTACAGCCCATTCGTCACTAAATCTACTTTGAGTATCAGTGTCCTTTCCTGTGGGAACTAACCTAACCCGATGGTATAAGACTGTCTTCTGTGCGTATTCCTCAGATAATTTGCAACGCTCTATGTACGAGTACAATAACTAGGTTATTGAAGAACAAGGGCGATAAAAGTGCGGTGTCTGACAGTGAGCTGCCTATTTTTTATACTGTCGTACATACCGGCACCTTTTAGGTGGTCTGTGCAGCGTTGGCGAACGGGAGCTCGTCCACCGACCATCGTTTAGGCAATATCCATCCACCTTTGTGGTTGAGTGGATTGTGTATGTGAAATCCATGGTTGTAAGTGGGCTGGGATGCTGCCAGGGCGCCCACACCTAGACAGGAGGACGATTAGGGTCTCCAAACAAAGCCTTTGGCTCAAAAGCCTAACCGCAAGGCAGCGGTGTTTGGCGGGAAATGCAAATGCATTACCATTTCTACGGAACAAGTCGCCACATGTTCCAACCCCCAACCTGGAGGGCCAGGAGACTGTGTTCGTCAGACCTCTAACCATTGACCAACCTGGTATGAGAGACTCTCTGAGTGTCGCGGGACACTCTCCAGTATAGCTCAATGGATCGCTGAGATTCGCAAACCGTCACACCACGGTAAGGTCCAGTCTCTTCGTCGGACTTGAACACTGATGTCATGCTGTCAATGATGATGATGGTGATGATGATGATGATGATGATTATGAGTGTACTGAGTGTGACACCATTTTTTCACTTCAGGGACTGAGGGGCATTTTCCATCTCTTGGATCCTGTGACGTTTATGTTCAGGGCGTGCTTAATTGCCAGAACAGCTTATGTGGGTGCATGGATTGAGTTTAACCTATGCTTCATTTAGCGCGTAGTAGCCCACAACAAAGAAATAACGCAGTTACTTCCGAAATACGACGTTTGTGGGAAGAACTGCTGCATATATCTTCGGAAAATTGAGTTTCATTGAAATTTCTACTCTATTGCAGATATCATCCACAAGTATGTGCGGGATCTTTACTCCAATCGCTTTCCGGAACTGGAATCTCTTGTTCCTTTGTGCTTGGATTACCTGAAGGTAGTTTTGGTAAGTTACATGGAACACCCCTCCACTAACTTCCTTGTTTAACCTTTCTTGGGAGAGATAAGTTTTATGTGACTCATACTATAGCATCATCGAGACAATGTACACTGCGCTCAGCCCTGTTATACAACCAACCGAATATGTGTTACTTTAGGTTTTGGGAAATGAGATCCTTGAGCGATCCAAGCAGACTGATCTTTTGGCATCCTTTCTGACTCCTGCAACAATTATGGTTGTCTCGGTCACTGCGTCCACGACTCAAGGGGCTCCTTTGGATGAAAATCAACTCAGCCGGATTATGGAGGCATGTACGATGGCAATCGAACTGCAAGAAATGCGATCTGCTATGCTCGCTTACGTTGAATCTCGCATGTCTTTCATTGCTCCAAACACCAGCATTCTTGTGGGAGCCTCAACGGCTGCCAAACTGATGGGTAAGTTGGATGCCATACCTTGTCAGCTACAAAGCTTGAATAAGATATTTGTTAAAGGGCAATGCGTTGAAGCTATATCGCTCAATTTTCCTGTTTAATTTGGTAGTAGTATAGGTCTTATACGACCATGCTGTTTAGCTGCCCTCTCCCATAATCTTTGAGGAAATCGCCTCAGTACGCTGTATCTCTGGTACATGGTTTATGGCTAATAAACGAGCGAAACTGGTATGTTGATTAGTGGCTGGTCACTATACTTATTGTTATCATCTGCTGTTAAGCGTTAGTCACTGTTCCTCAACTGATGTTATGATGGGTTCTCTTACTGAGCTCGCGTACAGGGAAACCCCAGCACGTGTGTGTTTGTTGTTTGTCCCTTGTCATACTATCTAACATGTGGACCTGTATTATCTTCAGCGATAAGCTTCGACCGATTTTATGCAAGGTGAGTTGTTTTGATACTTTGTTACAGCGATCGCCCGATTGGAATTCACTTGTAAGCATAAATCCTGGTGGACGTTACTCGGAATATTTACACTATTCCTCTCTTCCCCTGAGGACAGGATTTCACGGGGAAAGGGGTTTTCCAACCTCTCCCTGGGGTAACTTTTTGGGGAATTTAGCACCGAACTGGTTGACGAAGAGTAGTCTTGCGGCCTATGCGAGGGCTGGGCCAGTCCTATAGAATTGGCTTATGATCTATATACCTCCAATGGAGTTACTAGCACATTGGTATCCAGTCCAGTCAAACTGCACTGACCCGGTGCTCAATGTTCTGTTCAACGTTGTTTATCCTAATGACATGCACGATTAACGAAGCTTACATATGCTTACTTGGACTCAACTTGAGATTTAGAAATGCAGACTGTTTCTCGGTCAATAAGTGATTTGGCTGCTCTTTGGTGTCATTACGAGGTTCATTTCCAACAGTACCGTCTCCTTTCCGGCAGGAAGTGTCCGTAGGTTTGTGGTATCCTTTCTGTTCTACGCGAGGAGGGTAGCTTCTGCTTATTTTTGGCTCCACAGCTCTAGGCTGTTACATGTTATGGACATGCACAAATAGTGTTTACCTCGCACTGTAATTAAATATTTCGTGCGGCCTGGTGCCTCTGTACAGTACTTTCACGTGTTTGCCTCGCCTTCCCTCATAGGTCATGCTGGTGGCTTGACAGCCCTCACAAAAATGCCCTCCTGTAACATACTTGTCCTGGGTGCACAGAAACGTCTGCTATCCGGGTTCAGTAATGCTTCCGTTCTTCCTCATACGGGTTACATATTCAATGCGGAGGTCGTGCAGAAGCTACCACCCGACTTACGCTACAAGGCAGCTCGCTTATTGGCTAACAAGGTGGCTTTGGCCGCTCGGGTTGATTTGTTTCATGAGGCTTCGGTACGTTGGTTCGCCTTTTACTCCCAGCTTTATTAGCCTTGGCTTGTCTTGTCCCCAGTTCTTCTACAGATCTCGTTTTTTTCTAATTTCATCCATAGGACGGACACATCGGCGAAACGTGTTTGCTCGCCTTCCCTCATAGGTCATGCTGGTGGCTTGACAGCCCTCACAAAAATGCCCTCCTGTAACATACTTGTCCTGGGTGCACAGAAACGTCTGCTATCCGGGTTCAGTAATGCTTCCGTTCTTCCTCATACGGGTTACATATTCAATGCGGAGGTCGTGCAGAAGCTACCACCCGACTTACGCTACAAGGCAGCTCGCTTATTGGCTAACAAGGTGGCTTTGGCCGCTCGGGTTGATTTGTTTCATGAGGCTTCGGTACGTTGGTTCGCCTTTTACTCCCAGCTTTATTAGCCTTGGCTTGTCTTGTCCCCAGTTCTTCTACAGATCTCGTTTTTTTCTAATTTCATCCATAGGACGGACACATCGGCGAAAAACTTATGTTGGAGGTAGAACGGAAGTTTGACAAGTGGCAGGAACCTCCTCCGGTCAAGACAATCAAGGCTTTACCTGCTCCCATTGATCCTCCAGCAAAGTACGTTGACATTATTTTCCATGCGAACTTCGATCCAAGACGACTGGTCGTAAAATCAACCAAAAGCTGTCCTCTTCGAGGACTCGGTTATTTCATCCTCACTGAGTCTAAAACGTCTCTCTACCATCACTGTTATTCTGAAGAACATATGCAGATTTGGATATCCCATTCTTTCGCCACCGTTTGCTTCGGTTTGCCATCAAAGCTCAGTCTTAGACCCTTCAATCCTCGCGTCAGCTTTTTTGAACTTGTTTCTTCTCAATTGACAACCTTATCTTCCTTTTTGTCTGCTTGTCCGGTTGGCTCAACCGTCACTTGAGATTCCGAAACTGTTTTTAGGTAACGGATCTACGACAACATTAATTGCCGCCTGTTTGTTCCACTGAGCTGGAGGCTAGCGTCGCACCGCACCGTGGCTAAGCGCTCGAAACTGATTGTCTGTCTCGTCCATGACAAGGTAAATGGTACCGGCTTTTTTTTTACAGGAAACGTGGTGGACGACGTTATCGAAAGATGAAGGAACGCTTAGGCATGACGGAATTACGGCGTTCGGCCAATCGAATCCAATTCGGAGAGATTAGTGATGACGCTTATCAAAGTGATTTAGGCTTTTCACTGGGTTCCTTGGGACAAAGGGGTATCGCCGGACGTCTCCGGGCTCCCCAAGCAGATTCCAAGACGAAGGCGCGAGTGAGCAAAGCTCTTCAGCAAAAGCTGTCCCGTTTCGGTGGTATGTCCACTATGCCCACCACAGCACTGGGTGCGACAACCTGGGGTGGGAGTTCCACGGTTCGGAAGCATGTGGCTGGTACCTCTTCCTCCATCGCATTCACACCACTTCAGGTGAGAGAGTCCTATAAAATTTTGTGGGAATTTTATGAAAGGAATTTTCTTTTACGGTCATGTTCCACCTTTGAAACAACGGAAATCTTGTTCTTGACGACACTCAGACTTTGATGCACGTTCCTTTCGATGTGAAATGTAATTCGTTCACTGCGTCTTGTTGTGGGAACCGTCTAGTCACTAATCATGTTTAGGTTTCTAAGAGAAGCGCTGCCGCCTTTCCAAAAAAGAGGATATCACCCGGACAGGTCAAAAGTGTTGTAGAAGCACGACGTACTGAGCTTCCACACTCTGACTTTGTTGCTGTACAAATAGGGTGGTTGTCCTATCGTGAAACTATTATTTTTCACACTGATGTTTTTATTGCTCACAGTTGATGATACTAGCACTGACTTGGCCTTTGCAGGATACTCAGAGAGAGACCATGGTCGGAAATCTCGAGGAACTTCAGTGTGAGCGTTCATCGGACAACATTACTTCTGATGCAGCCTTTTATTCTCCCAAATGATCTGGACCTCTCATTCCCTTAAACCGGATCATCACGACCAGTCACATCAGGAAGGAAAATAGAAATAAAAATCCTTCAGCTTCAAACTTTCGGCGCCTAGCTGCCACCTGCAGAAGGCGCGGGGACTGAGATACTACCAGTTTGTTCAAACCTTGATAGGATTGATAAACGACTAATTTCTTCAGGGCGTTTTTAAAAGTGGTAGTAAACAAATTCGTTCCAACCTGTGCACTCGGCGACTTAACGGTGCTCGCCACAAGTAATTTTTCACAACGGCCGGAGCAGCACGCATGTGTAGAATCGCGCCAACTGACTACGTTGGCCCCCGACTTACATAACATAGAGTAAATAGCGCAGCAAAAGATTTCTGCTGTTTTATCAGATTTTGTATATGCCTTGGAAGTACTTTTTGGATTGGACCGATCTATGCCTTCGGGCGCCGCTCTCGATTAGGAACTCAGTCTTGAAGCAGACAGGTTCGTTCTTTTTAAAGCACATTCTCTGAGGTATTCTTTAGAACAGCAGTTACAGGGCATACGAAATAGGATGGTAACCCCAATTATCTTGCATGTAGTCCATATGAATCGCTTCAGATACTGTGCAAGCGATTGAAGCTGACTCCTTCGCTTTGTACACAGGGTCTGGAAATTGTCAATCCGCAAGCAGCAGAGAAGACGACAGAGACCGGAAACAAATACTTCAGTGCCACATGCGGATTTGCAAAAATACAACCCAAGGCAGAAAAGAAAACAGAACGTGGAATGTAATGATGTGATCTCTTTGGTTACCACTGTATTCCTGTACAAATAAGTCCCTACCCATTAATCCGGTCCTTTCTTTTTCGCAGCATTCCTACCTACTGAGCGAGGTTGCCCAGAGCTTCCTAGAGAATCGAATTTTGTCGGATTATATTTGTAGTCCGTGCAACTGGTAGTAACGAGAGATTAAGGCGAGCATCTGAGTAGTATGTCGTTTAGAGTGTTCTTCAATCGAATATGACTCTGGGAATTCAGTTGGACAGATTATCTGAAGTTCGAGACGTTTGCCTGAGGACTCCTTAAACAAAGTTAAATTGGTAGTGGGCTGTTAGCGAGTTTTCAATAGTCTTCCAATAACTAAAAGGCACAATACACGCGACTGTTCGTTAGCTGACTGACTGATTGGGGAAGATAGCTGGCGATCGATTGGAAAGGCTTCACTGTTGAAAAATTCCTGTAAGATACACGAACAATCGGAACGTCCTACCATAAATGACGTTTTCTGTAGGATGGTTGGGATTGAGTTAACGAGAACGTGCTGTAGATGGCCACGGGTACTCAACAAACAGGCTATTCTTGAAACACTTAAAACAATGTTTAAAAAACCGTTGAAAATTAGAAACAGTAAACGCTCTTGCGCGTACTCTGGATACTCTGTCAGTTGGCGTCCGTTGCATCTCGGAGACTTTAATACACTACGGTTGTTGAGCATACTGCATCTTCTCTTTCCAGATGCTGTAGAGTACGAACTTCGAATTTCTCTAAAGCTGCTGTAGTGGGTTTCGTCGGTGTTGGTATAAACTTAAGTTATCATACCGAGGTTTCATTGCTCAACTGGAATTCCTTAAACGGCAGCCTCTGCGCTGTCCGGCTTCTCGTACCAGTCGAAATGTTGAACACTCATGGTTATTTATGCGCCAACGAACCGTAGCTGTGATTCACTGAAAGACACCTACTGATAACCGACTACCCTCGTGCATCCAAGCAATTGCCTTCAATGCATAGCTCCTTTTCCAACCCCCCCCACTTGACAGCCCACTGACAGTGCTGGATTTATGCACCAATTTACCAGCTCGCGCGTGCAATGCGCAGCTACCTACCCCCCCCAAATCGTCGGTGAACGAAACTGCGGCAGCTACAACCACTGAACCTTGTTACCTACGATGAACCCTAATATAATCACAGTGGCGGGAGATTTTATCAGACAAGTAGGACGCAGAAGCATGGTTTGGTGGTATTTATTCTAAATACAAAACACTGACAATCGTGAACATCCTTTGCATTTAGCTATTTCCCAGCAATGCTAGGTTCAGACGCAGTGGGCGTTGCCGTGTTACATGGCATCCCTCTACCGCCGAGGAGTCTTGGAGTCAACTTGACCACAGCACCAGGTACCGATTGCACGGTTCGCCAATCGTTCTGGAATGCACAAGTTGATGCAGACTACGCTCCCATTCGGTGCAGATTTTCATTAAACTTTCCAGGTGAACCCCTGAAACGAACTCCCCACTTAGCAGTGCAGAAGCTTCGTGAGCGAGTTAGGGACGTACCACGGCTTACTTTGCAAAGCGGTATAAACGGCCTCCTCAGAGGGCATTAACCACAACTGGTATGAGATAACCAGGGAAGTATGACGTCTGGAACTCTGTTGTTACCGAGCGCGTATAACTTCCGCCTCTTGATGCGAGGCGCCCTATCTCTTTGGTTTGGGGTACTATTCTGCCAGACGGTCGATTAGGAGACAGCTCAATTGTAGCCTGTGTAGGCGGACGTGGTGGAATCAGAGAGATGGAAGAGACCGATGTGGCTGGGAACGCATGGAAGCTGTTCCAGCAAAACAGCACCTAAAAGGCCTTGCTGTGTTGATAAAAGATAACACTGAAAATCTGATACATAGCAAGGATGGGTGTTTGGATCGCTGAGCAGAAAATTTTCAACAGCGGTTCAAGTGGCCTGTGTCCATGTATATTCAACCCACTCATTTTGAGCCTTGGTCTGTGAGTTCAGATCCTTCTCCATTTGAAGTACAAATATGCCTTCCTGGCTTGAAGCGCCATCGGGCTGCCGGGCCAGATGAAACTCCCCACGGCGTTGTTAAAAGATGGAGGAGGATCTCTGTGTTCCGCTTTAACCAGTTTGTTCCATGAAGTTGAGGCCAGTCGTCAGTCTTATGCGTGTTCAGAAAGTCAGCCGAACCGACTGTCGTAACAACGGCTACTGGCTTCCCTTGTGCTGCGACGCCATTCTTCGGCATGAGACGCAATTAAGAAGGCACCAAGCAGGATTTTGAAGTGGCCTTCCGCCTGGTGACCCACTTGACAAAGCATATTGGTACTATGTGGGACGAAGAGAAATTGCCTGCAGAATGGGGCATGTCGACAGTTATCCGTACCTGCAGAATGAGGCATGTTGACAATTATTCCTATCTTCAAAAAGGGTACGCGGACGCTGTGCGGAAACGACCGTGGCAGCAGCCTATTAGCTGTGGCGTCGGACGTGCTCTCTGGTCTTATCCTTCGAAAGTTGACTGAACACAGAGAGACAGATCCGTGAAAACCAAGCTTGGTTCCGTCCTGCAAGAGGATGCATAGATCATGTCATCATCCTCCGACAGATTCTGGAACAGAAACACTGCTTCCAGCAACCAACAATGGTTGTGTTTCCTGACCTGCAAGCCGCCTTTGACTCTGTGGATCGTCAGGCACTATGGCAGTCTGTGGGGCAAAGGTATCCCCAATAAATCTTCGATCCTCCAGCAGATGTGTAAAGGTCTATGAAAAACTCAAGCCTGAGTCCAACACATCAGGTGGTGTCAGACAGGGCTGTTCTCTTTTATCTTTCCTCTTCAAGTCCGTCATTGATATGACCATGAAAGACTCACTACCAGTCTCTAATGCTCCCGGGGAGTCCGCTCACAGATATCGAGTACGCAGACGACATAACCCTTCTTGGATCTGACCCCGTCGTAATGCAAACAATATTGAATAATCTAAATAATTCTGCCTCACAGTTTGGCATGCGCCTCACACCTACAAGGTGTAAAGCGCTACTGCAAGACTGGGTGGGCTCGAACCCTAGCCTCATGCTTGCGGATGAACCGATTGAGGTAGTAGACAAATTTGTTTATCTGGGCAGCTGTATCAGTCCCGGTGGTCTCACGGAAGATGAAATTTCCATCCGGATTGGGAAGGCCACAGCAGTTTTTGCGAACCTACGTCACCTGTGGCGTAGGCGTGACATCAGCTTCTCCGTCAAGGGTCGAGTTTACAATGCTGCGTTGCGCTCCATATTACTATATGGATCAGAAACGTGGCCGCTACACGCCGAGGACGTCAAAAGACTTTCAGCGCTTGACCACCGATATCTTCGGAGCATTGCCCGAATCGGGTGGGAACACCGGATCAGCAATGCTGAAGTACGTCGAACAGTATTCGGGAGAAATAACTCACCCCCGATAGATGAACTGATCACACTGCAGAGGTTGCGCTGGCATGGCCACGTGCTGCGTATGCCAGTCGACCGAATTCCTCGAAGGGCTCTTTTAGTCCAACCATGTGAAGGGTGGAAGAGAATCAGAGTCGGCCAAACAATTACTTGGCAGCGAAGTATGAAAGCAGTTACCAGCAAACTCAGCTGCGCTGGTCACTGCCGTCTTCTTGGATGGGGACCCCGAGACGGGCCACATCAATGGCTAGAGACATTATCAGACATGGCTCAGATGCGCCCTCAATGGCGCTCGTGCATCAAAGCTATTGCCTTCAATGCATAGCTCCTTTTCCAAACCCCCCCACTTGACAGCCCACTGACAGTGCTGGATTTATGCACCAATTTACCAGCTCGAGGGTGCAATGCGCAGCTACCTACCCCCCCAAATCGTCGGTGAACGAAATTGCGGCAGCTGAAACCACTGTACGACGAGTACGCGGCTCTTACGGCTGACAATGATGATGATGATTTTGACGTGGAAGACGGTGCATGGATCAAGTCTTTATATTAATTCAGGTGCTTGAGCAGTACCACTTATACCAGCAACTAGCAATAACAGTTTTCCTCAATTTAAAAGAATCTTCGACTTTATTTAATCCTAAATTTTCTTGACCGAGGAGAATGCCCTTAAAGTTCGTATTCGGATTAAGCGGACGGTATAATATTTTTTGACGAGCATTTGTCCGCGCAAAGTACTTTCGCGGGAACGTCGGTGATCCTACTCTTCGCCATGCGTTGAGGCGTGGTACTCAACTGTTAAAACCATCAACAAACACATTGAAACCGACCTAATCGGCGGGAACCCGTACCCAAGCCGAAGATGATACAGTGAATTACAACAGGTGAGAGTTGCGTCAAGCAAAAATGTGCCCAATGGCCCGTTGATCATCACCATCGATAGCATGACATCGGTGTTCAACACCGATGGTTCACTGCCGTATATGAACCATTGAACAACGAACAGACAACAGAAATGGCAAACAGGATAATCGAATTCAAGAAAGAAAACTATTACTCGTCAGGACGCGCTCGGACAGAAAAAAAGCACATGTGCAGAGAGTGACGCATCTCCAAGGTCACCATCGGTACGACATGTCCGGAAAGTAGGTGAGTTGCCGGCTCCCACCAAACACGGCTTAGCAACACACGACCAGCGTAGTGGGCCTGAGATTGTTCACGAACGGAACACCACCATTGGTTGTACGGAACGAACAAGTGAACGACCATATTTGGCCAATTAGTCATTCTATATATTTACGGAGACGCTCTGTATGTTTTTGTCCTGGCAATACAGCCGTGTCCCCAGTTCTCTGTCTTCTCCCTATCGCGTAGTCTGGCAGGCTCAGCGCAGGCGTAACCCATAGTTACCCACGATACAACATTACTGCAATCGACTAACCAGGCAGCAAGATCAGCGGAAAAATACGTCTGGAATACTACAGGCGGACAGCCTGTGGTGGACTCTATGTGCAGCGTATGGCTGAAGGCCTGACAACACCAAAAATACACGCCTTGTTTGCTTGAGAGGAACATCGAGGCCAGCTCGCCATCAACAACAAAAATCCAGCACTGAGATAATCCTCCCTCCCGACAAGACACCTGGCGTGGATGGTCTGTACTCTTCAAGGAATTGGCTATATCCTGGTGAACAGTCTGACATCCATACTGGAGAAGATTCGTAACGAAACACAGTACCAGTAGATTGGAGCTCCTTGACCGTCATCCCAGTTATTAAAGAGCGCAAAAATGTCATGCGAAAAGCATCCTGCTTTCATTCCGGTGTCCGGCGCTCTCTGGCAATGTTTCGTGTAGGTTGACCGATTACCGGGAGAGAGATTCGTGAAAATCAAGCCGGGATCCATCCTGACCGAGGAGGCATCGAACATCTCTCTCTATATGGGGCACAGTCTAGAACAGCGTCACTCCTTCAAGCTCCCACGTTGGTCGTTTTTATTGATCTCAAAGCTGACTCTTGATCGTGAGAAACTTTGGTGTAAGGCAATCAAAGGTGTTGCTTCCAAATTCATATCCCTTACGAACTTCTGTGGGTGCGTACGAGTATACGGCAGGCTTTCGCCTGATTTCACGCCTAGTGGTGTAAAACAAGGTTGCACTCTCTCACACTGACCGAGAAGACCGTTCAGCTGTAACACCCTTCTGGTGCTTAGCCACCCGAAAGAAGCATGAGTGCTGGAATACTGCCAGGCTGCTAAAGCCTAGACAGAGGAAGTCGAGGGGCAGAGGTCGGGTTCAAACCACGGACCTTCCGGTCAATAAATTCGCGCTCTAGCCATTTGAGCAATCTCGCCCGTCTCACGCGCTCTAGCATTTGAGCAATCTCGCCCGTCTCACGTTCAACTGTTATCAATCTGCCCATCTCTACAAACTCGAAGGTAGAAATGCACCCGGGACGTTCGCTCGCAGACATTGTGTGTGGACGATATTGGTCTCCTAAATAATTCTGCCACATGGTTTGGCAAGCGTCTCACACCTGCAATGTTGCCACAAGACTGTGTAGGATCAAGCTCAAACCTCATGCCTGCAGACCACCCAATCGACTTGATAGATAAGTTTGTTAACTGGGTAGTTGTATAAGTTCCGATGGACTGGCTGGAGATGAATCTAGAATCGGAAAATTCAGAGCAATGATCGCGAACGTCCGACACTTATGGCGCCGACGTGAAGTCGGTTTGTCTGTCAAGGGCAGAGTTTACAATGCGGCAGTGCGATCCGTACCGCTTTGTGGATCAGAGACGTGAACTCTGCGCGAAGGACACACGGAAGATGTTAGTGCTTGACCGTCAGTGTCTCCTAAGCATTGGTAGGGTCTGGTAGAAATATAGGACTAATAATGCTAAGGTACGCCAGATGGTCCTACAGAAAAGGAACTCTAACGCGAGAGAAAATATCACTCACGGTTCATAGATTATTTTGGTTGGAACATCTACTCAACATGCCATAAGACTGTCTGCCCCGCAGAGCTCATTTTGCCCAGCACTGTGCTGAATGGAAGCGACCGAGTGGTGGACACCGTATGACCTGGAAACGAACTACGAAAACACCAACCAGTAAACTAAGTCGGTTCAACAGCCGCCCCACTGGATAGGGACTCCTGGACTCAACTCACTAATAGTTGATGACGCTAGCAGAAATAGCCCAATCGCGCAGTCAGTGGCACTTGTGTAGTAAATCTACTGCCTTCAAATGATAGGTACTCTGTTCCCTAACTAATTAACCATGTCATCGGCTCCAAAACCTGACTATATGCCCCACTCTCCCAACCTACGATGATCGAAGTTTTAGCAGCTGGAACCAATGTGCCTATGGTACACGGTTTATAGCTGATAAATTGATGGATCAGTCAGTTGGAAGCGGAAAGAGCACAAACTTAACCAATGGGCTATGGTACACGGTTTATAGCTGATAAATTGATGGATCAGTCAGTTGGAAGCGGAAAGAGCACAAACTTCCGGCCCTACCTATTACAGGGGAGATTATCTCCATCGGTTAACTTTCAGGTCATTCATACCTTATGACCAAACACCATAGATTCGGTCCTGTTCTAACGTCCACTCAGATAACCGCTTGCATCTCGCTTTTTATCATAGTACAACACAAGCAAAAAAATTCCAATATCATTGTGGGAGTCATATCTCTTCCTTTCGCCACAAATTCCAGATTGATTTTATCTGCTCTATGAGCACGTTGATGTGGCACCAGCAACGCTTTCTGTGAGCGGAATTTCAAAACACTTTCTCAATCCGCTTGCAGATCATATTAACGATGTCTTCGAATTTCTGTGCTCGATTTACAGTTCCAAATCTAATGCATTTGACAGACGAGACGCCAAACTCATTGTGTCCAGCATCATACGTTAGTAATATGACAGGGAGTTTGGTGTCCAGGATATGTCAACAACGTCCAGTTTCCATAAGTGGCGGCTGCAGGAAATCTAGTTTAAATACAACTGTCTCAGGTTTCGCCAAGGCTGCTCACTTCGTAGATAAAAAACGCTCCCTCTGTCTTACGCGGTCGGAATAAAAAGGACTTGTCAGACAGAACACAATGAGCATCGAAAAGTGATAATGTACCACCAGTTCTGATGCCTCTCGGATTTGGGGCCGTCTACGTCTCAGAAGAAAGCCGAGAAGGCAGATGCATCATTGATCATCCAAAAACCTGTACATGGAGTCACCGTTATGTAGTCCCTGACCTGACTATTTTTAATCGGATTTTTTGGTCAGGATCCCCACTGGACGACTCGTGGTTTCTCGCTTGCGTTGCAGTAGAGGTGTGATCAGTGGGCGCACGTGACCAAGTAAATATATGCAGAATTTCTTTCCGACACCGTGCGCTTTCTCCCGAAAGACCCGATGATCAGAGGAGCTCCGAATGAAAAATAAACATCTGTCCAGAATAAAAGGTTTGGGCTGAGTAATGTTCCATCTATCGATCGAGAGGATTACGACCCATGGAGCGTGAAGTACTGGGACTGAGAAAAAAATTAATTTATCAAATGAATGCTTTACATTTATGTATAAATTCTGCTTTTTAAAAACAATACAACGCGTTAAAAATGCAGCGAATCAGGAGCCGGTGAGTACAGCCGCGGTCCGTGGAACCATTTGCTCCAAGCGATGATGCATAGCCTGAATGAATAGTCTTTGATTCGATTTCAGGTAAGAGGCCTGGGAAGGTGAAGAAAACAAAGGAGAACTAGTAGATTCCATAGCTGGATAAAAAGCAACGTCGACTGCATATACTGTCCTCTTGTAAGAAACCTCTAGGAAAGCAGTGCCCCATAAATAAAAAAAACCGGAGCGTCAGATGAATAAAATAAAAGAAACAGGCGTGACCCACATTGGCTTCTCAAGTGGTTCAGCCGCCCTAACCTTTTATCGATCTGCTAATAAATCAACAGGAGCAGAACGGCATATTTGTTATCCTAGTCACAGACCTGAAGCGTCCTGTAAGTGATGTCAGGAAACAATATCAACTCAAGAGCAACGGGTCAACAAATTGCAAATCGGATCGCACGGGAACTCAAGCTGTTACTTATTGCGGAACCTAATCGCAAAGAAGTTCTTTCCACGCATACGTGAGTCAGAGTGGGACAAAAATCACGGAACTTCGCGTTGTAAACGCAACATAATTCTAATGGAAAGAATCCCCTTCCTTCAGATAAAAAATCCAAGTGGCAATTATTGGAATCACTTGTCGCGTTGTGGGCTGGAACTTCTTCACACCACAAGGGACATGTTTGGCGGTTATACAGCGTTTATCATTAAATCTTAATTCGAAACACGGAGTTTTTTAGCAGAACTTTTATAACTTCGAAACGGCTCTAGGGTGTTGAAAAAGTTGCATGAATTACCTTGGAAAGTTGACAGAGCGATTCCAGAAGTTCAGGACGTAGTAGGGAGGGTATCATTTCTCTGATTATCTCAGGTTCACTCCTTTCGTCTGCAGAAACATGCGCCCCAGGAAGTTCACGTTTGTAAGCGAGCCGACCGTACTCAGGGGTTTGATCCACTCGACGTGTTTGTGGTTGTCGCGTCTTTGAGCCAGGGAACTTCGTGGCAGATTGTATTCGAGGTGTCAGTGATGAGGCCGCAGCAGGATCCGGGCGATTGAGATGGTGGTTGAGAAAACGCCACGAGACATAAATTCCCTGTTCGCAGATACCTTGAATTTAGGGTGAAATAATACGTTTAGGAGAGTAATACGCAGTTGTCGTGAGAGAAAAATCCCAAGATGCCAGACAAGTAAGTAGCGAAGAAACCCGCAATCGAGGGGAAGCCTGGAAGCCGAGAGCAAATCACACCAGCTACCGAGGCCAGTTGGTTCGGCGAAAACGAATGAATTCTAATTGGCCGCATACCGAATTTTTGAAGCCCATCAGCTCACAAACAGAAAAGAATAACAGTTTTCACCCCAGAGATGGGTAAAGATCAATCATACGAGTTCCCTTCCGGTGCTCACTTGGCTGTGTGAACCAGAAACACAAACGCGGCCTTACGGTACACGTGATACATAGAGTATAGACAATTTGAAGTCAGTCCCCTAACTAGAGTTCATATGTGCTGGAGAACTTTGACTCAACATGCAGATAACACACCAACGACGCTCAACTACGCCTTGGTGATAAAAATTCAGCCAGCATTCTAGGGTCAAGTTCATGTGATTCCGTGCTTAGCTGGGAACACTCAAACGCAAAACCAAAAACATCTGTTTAATGGAACTGGTCCAGTGAATTTCCATCAACTATCTTTGAGTGCTGACGGCGTAGGTACCATACATGTCTGCCGTAGGCCAGTAAAGAATCTTGCCACCTTTTTCCTCACAAATAACTTGAAGTGACAATCATGTAGAAGTGCTGTTGTAAATGCTGACGATGGGCTTGGAATAAGTGGGGTCAGAAGAGCGATGGTTCGTAGGTATGTACCGAAAAAAACACCACACCTCATGTCTAACTGTGTCATAAGTTCTCCGAGATGTGGGTAATACTGCTCAAGACAAATTGCAAGCGTAGCAAACGAGAGATAGAGATAAGACAAGTGCTAATGATCTCCCAAGAGGGCGGTGGGATCGAATAACAGGTCTTCATAAATTGGGAAAACCTTGTATCATCTACATTTAAAGGGCAAAACTCAAAAGCTATCAGGACGCAAGCTTTCGTAAAAAGAGGCGTAGAGCCTCTGGTTGATGCGAACAGAATCACAAACTGTAAGTAGGTAAGAACTTACTAACAAGTGAATTCAACTGTAAACGAAGAAAACTGACACCAACCGCGATACAATTGCGCAGCAACTCCGTCTCTGGGTGATGGGAGTCAAGTCCGAGAAAACTGGCGGAGGAAGAAGGCAGTTAGGGAAACAACAGAGTTACGGCAATGGCGCGACCGTGAATCTCGATACTTTAATCAAGTTTTATCATTTTGGATAGGAGTCGAATTGGAAGAAGACAAAAGGAACTTACATAAAAAAAATAACAGTGGCATTCTACTGAACATCGCCCACTTAAGCGAACGAAGTGGAGTTGAATTTCAGTGCACTTTAGTCCATTCAATACTTTATTTGAAAGTCTAGACGTAACAGGTGAATACGCGAGTCAAAGGCGAGAAAACGCACCCAATGAACGTGCACGGGTTTGGTAATCTTGCGCCTACCATGAATCATTTGAAGGAAGAATAGTGTGAAGAAACGCGACCAGTGATGTGGCTTGATTGGGGTAGTGAACACTTTGGACGTTTACGTCACGAAGATGACTAACCACTAGCGGACTGTATACTTAGTGAGCTGAAATGGAGGGTGTCTAACAAAGAGTCTTTTCCACGCACATGAAGATCCAACGAACAAAATCCATGTAGAGAGGCGAGTAAGGTACAAAGTTTCGTCCTAAAAAATCACGTTAGTAATTCCACTCCAGTGTCTTTGGATAGACCTCTGAGCCACAGGCTTTCGCTGAAGGCACACAATCGACCAGCATCTGAGTTCCGAGGCCCTGAAGATGATCTTATCTTCTTATAATTGTAACGTAACTCAAATGTGTCTGACAATTCTGCAACAGCCTGTCTGTAAATCATCCCATATTTGCGTATTCGGATCCAACAACCGCCACGCTGTCGTTCGAATACACTGAAACAAACGACTCCGATAACGAAAACCCCGACCATCATGCCTGTCGTTATTTGTCACCACAAACAGACATTACAATCACGCTACTGTAGACGCTGAATTATACCCTTGGGTAGATCACCCACTCAGGAATTCGTAAGTGATTCATGCAAGGTGTTAACACGGTAGACTGAGTGCAAGCAAAGCTTATCAATGCAGTTGTAGAAAGCTAAACAGCAAAATAAGGACAAGAAGAGTTTTCAGCAACCTTGTGAGTAGTTTCCTTTATGAAAACATACTGCGATATCTCGAATATCGTGCCAATTGAAACATGAGGTGGCCTGTGTGCAGCACATTCAGTTGTAGAATATCATAAACGAGAGATTCAGTTGAGTCTCTCGAGAAAACCAAATTGATTTGCAAATGAGTGTTTCTCGAAGGACTAGAAAACTTACGGCGTAGAAGAACTGACCAGGCGGGGAACACTGGAGAAAAGGAGTGTGCACGACTGACGAAGCTGGTCCATTGACAGGTCGTCGCTACGTACCCGTGCGTGCTGTATGGTAACAAAACAAGCGAGGAAAACAAATACATGTATATTTGCAGTACGGTAAATTGCTTTCGGTGAGATCACCATCCATCGTGGCCGCTTTTGGCCAGTACTGCTGTCGGGCACTTGTTATGTAATCATACGTTTATCGTTTTAGCCGCTTCGGCAGACTTGCCTTCAAGCTGTTCTCTAATAAGATCAGGTAACTAACAACCGCTACATTAGGATATGCTTTGCATCAATATCAGCGCTGGATCGCCCAATTTCGACTGGTCGTTTCACCAGTCCCGATATACAGGTTACTTTGCAGGGTTTTCAGGAATTTCTGAAATCGCTAAGGAAAATCTAAGGAATGTGTTTGGACCTGTCCAAGGTTGCTGGGATGGTATATCGTCCAAACGAAAATTCCAACCAGGTTTCAGTTTTGCTCAATAAGTACAGACCACAGGGGAACAGATTCTCAGGTGGGATGCAACCACCGCTACGTTCTCAAAGGTTTTGCATACCAACTAACACATTCAGGCGTAACAATAGGCAAGTAACGTGAGTAACTGAAATGCGGCCACAATGTTCGTTGAGTACGTGAATAAACACCGAGAAGAAACCATTTCTGACGTACCAAAAGAAGCCTTACTACCGGGCATCCAACACGGATGGGGGATTCCTCCGAAGACAGCTGGAGCGACTTTGAACCTGCATCGTCCAACTTCCCCGAACTGTTAAATATATTCAAGTTGGCCAGACCCACACACAGATCTTCGACGCGTACCAACTGATTCAATGCCCATGAGACCAGATGTAAAATAAACGTCAGTTGGACATGGCCAGAACTAGGGTCACCTACAAGGTGAAACGGCGAAAGTTACCCAGATGCACAGAGAGAGGTTTAAATAGAAAACTACCACAAATAAAGTACCTTGGTCACTCGTTTGGAGGAGTGTAAACAATGGTTGAATGTTTTTTGACGGAACAGGTAACGAAGCATCCAAAGAGGAGCGGTCCAGACTCGCCACGCACACGGAAACGAGATGCCGAATAAGATTAAGTTGCTGGGTACGACATAGCATGTGGTCAAAGATGAGATGATGATGCTGATTGGAGACACCGGTCAAAGGTTTCGCGGAAGGCTGTGGTTCAGCCAACAGAGTTGGCAGAAGGCTGACAGAGTTGCGCAGAATCCGAGATCGAACCACTTCACTCTGAATTATGGAGTATCTGAAGTGGAAATGGAAATATCACAGAGAGAAGCCTTGGTTTCAATCCCGGTCAGTTGAAGTTAACTGCCAGGAGCTCCTCAGATAAACATAAACTGGGGTAAAAATTGAACGACGGGCTACGCACAGTCTGTCCCAGCGGTCCAGTGCGAATTCTCCAGAAATTCAGTCGGTACAACCGTCAGTAAATCGGGCGTACCCGAAATTTTGGCAGACTTTGAGATGTGAAGAGTGAACAGGTAGCGGAGAGGATACTAACAGAAGCGGGTACGTACCCACCTCGTTCAATCAACTGTTTGCAAATTATCAACCCATAGAAGTCCCAGGAACTGTACAAGCAGAAATCCACAGATTAGTGCTTTGGAGAAGTCCATGTGGAATCATCACCACCGGCAGACAACATCAATGTTCATAAATGATGTTTCGCTACCGTAATAGCCTATCTAGCTTTAAGGCACTTTCTCGCCTCCAGGCTTCACACTTACCACGGCCAAAGTTTACCACCTATCGGTGCAAGTTTGCCCATACATCACAGGCCGAAAGCTGTGAGAGACAGGGTATCTGTATCGCCATTGGTGTTGGAGGGGGGACACTTCGCACTCGGCACAACCATTGACAAACAAACCAAATACTAGCCGGGATGGAAACTGACAAATACGTCACACACGGTTATCCCCGACGTTCATACTGGTAACTTCATACAAGAGCTTGCTCGGGACAAGCGAGTGGGTGTCTGTATCAATTGACACCTAGGTCACAGCACTCTGCACGTCCCTGAGAGCATTAGCTCTTCGAATAAGGATGACGCCAGTAGACACAAGCATAGGCTGGAAGAGATCGATATCCACTTCGGGCAGTAGGTCACTATGGAGAGAAACGTTTGTCGTTGGACGAAGGAGGTGGTAAAAAACTGTCGTATGTGATCACCACTGTCTGCTAACTGTCTCATGCGTCAGCGACAATAAAGTAAAACGACTGCCTGTCATGCATAGGCTGGTGACAACGCTGCAGACGTTTATCACCAGTGCAAGGGTAGCACTGATAAAACGACTTGGGCGTCTAGGCAACGAATTACAAGAGTTACAGCATCTTGCGTATGACTTGCATTAGAAAAACCTGATGCAGACATGTTGATCTTGCCCTGTTCCTTTCCTACAATCATTCGATTGATATTTTGTTTGGCGCAACCTACATATAACCGAGTAGGGTGTACGTGGATGAAGGTGTAAACAATACAGTAAAATGGTTCAAGCAGAACAAAATCTCCTCCAAGCTCGGATCTGAGGCACGAGTACTTTGTGTGAATGGGTTGTCAGAAATACGACAGCCATCAGAGACTAAACTCACTCGTCCATCCCAGTTGAGATTTTTTCAGTCCTGCTGACCAGTGCGAAAAGCTCGACTAAGTTTGTCTGAGCAGCGAGCCATTGCATGAGCCAAACAATGCCTACACTGCCGCCTGCCCCGGTGATTCCACTCATCCAGTCTGTCCGGTCCAAAAAGTGGACCAAAGCACTGCCCAAAACTGTCTCCTCAACCAACAGTGCATCCGAGTGGGCATATAGAAAGCCGATAACTTGCTGATTGGCATAAACATGCGAAGGACCTGCAGTGGACACCGAAAGAATTGGTGCATAAATGGAAATCGAGAAAATTGCAGCAGATGAAACCGGATCGATACGTTTGGTGCGTAGTATCGGAGCCAAGCAGTAAACGATGACTCCTGGTTAATTATCCATAACACAGCGATTTGCGAACATATGATTCCGAGGGTCTGTCCTGGAACACACAACTAGAAACTGTGAAATAGGATGCCGAAAGCTTAACAATGGATCTAAAAAAGGACACTATCTGATTGGTTTGTTAGGGACTAAGGCAATCTCAATGCTCTTTCGCACACGTCCTTAAAGCGACTTAGGACGACAAATCACCCTGAATGATCCCACCGATAGATTTGATGGTTGGTATTCATAAGATGAGCGGTCATTGTACTGATTAGATGCCTAGTCAGTCGTTCCCAAGCACTTTGGGATATGCGCACGAATTCTCTCGCATAGACACCGAGTCGAAAAAATGACCACTGATGAATCTACTATGGTGTTGAGCATTGGAACAGGAACCGCCATTTATACGTGACTGCTTCTGTGTGTCCAGGTAGTGTAACAATGGGCGTGTACACTAAACTAGGTATCTCGACTAGGCTTGGGTAACCATGACTCCTTTGGGTGGCATGGGAGCAATACACCGAAAGAGTGCGGTCACTGAAAGATTGTTTTTCGACCTATTTCATGTCCAGAAATCTGTGGGAGTTAGTGTGCTGGCCTGATCACGTAGATTTCCAATACATAACATTTTAAGGGATGCGTCAGCGTTTCTTGTTATTACAATATCCAGTAACTGGAATGCGTTACCGGTTTCTCCATCTCATTTGAAGTTGAGTGCAGTGTGGGCGGACTTAAGATTACTGGGGTTGAAGCAGGTTTTTTTTATCCAGATGGCAGTGACATGGTATGGTGAACTTCTCCTATCCAATATCGGTCGAAATAGACATTTTTCTTTTTGTAAGCAGTCCGGTTATAGGCAACAAGCCACCACACATACCCAAGGTGATCAATATTGTCTTGAACAAATCCACGACCGGGAGTAAAACTCCGGGCCAAGTAATAGTGCTCTCTGCCGTCGAACTATCACTTCTTGCACAAATCAGCCGGTGAAGTAAACAGTCATCAAAATGAATGTCCGTGCTGTCGCACTGCGAAGCTGCCATAACGCGCGACAAAATTTGAGAAACTTTGGAGTCCCCGCGTTCCACATCTGCGTTGGTCAGTGCTGAGTTCGAGGCGTATAAGGAGTCAAGACCGTCTGCGTATGAGTTTGCCAAGGTTGAAGCAGAGTAGATGGCGCAGGCCGTGAGCATGCTGATCACATCACACTGAAGCAAAGCCTAGAAAGGAACAGCAAAATCCACGTTGTATGGCAAGCGACTTTTGGTGGTGATTTTGGAAGGATGAACAGATAGTCAACCAAATGAGCTAAAACACAGATATACCTTTGCTCCTGTGAGACTTGTCGCCAGGCGGGAAAACAGGGCCACTTTGGCGCGGTACATGTGAAATGCAGAAGTGGCTGCGGTTGCAGCACCAGCAATTTCCGCACTGACGTGTAGCTCATCATCCTCAGCCATGGCAACGGAACTCAAAAACGATTCAACAGCCTTCAGGTCTTCCGGAATGCTATCCACAAGTTGCTGCAAGATAGTACAGGTATGAACAGTTCAGGTGAAGATCGTTCACTCCAGCAACAAAAATAGAAACATGAGGACAAGATAGACTGGAGGAGCCAGATCACTCCAGCCTAAATATAAATGGGGAATGAAGAGTAATATTTGTACCACAAGTGCAAAGAAGCATAAGCTACTAACGTGACATGATTAACTTGCTAGCATAATCGTTCTATATACTCGTACTGAAGCTTTGCATGTACATTTCGGCCCAACCACGCTTTTTCTTAGACAAGTGAAACGTCGCTTGTCCTCGATAACTACGACTCTGCTAACTCGTTCTCGGACACATTCTTAACGTCTTACAACGGGACTGCGGTGTCTTCCGCGAAAGTTCTGCCAACGCTTGAAATAGTTAAGCGTGAATAACTTCCTTGAACCTCTCACAAACATTTCGTCAAGCGGGTAGAGTCAGATCAGCCTGACAGGTGATGCCTACACTGTTCATTTGCTGTTTCCAAATTAGTTTTGCAAACCAGTGTGACGCTGATTTTGACATAAGACGACGCGCCTCCAATACTCGTCGACAACTGTGGGTGTCCTGATCAGTCAATGAAGACCAGAGTACCACCTCGTAATGGAAACAGTAATGAGATGCAGGATCAAGCGGGATTTTTTCCACATCAGCCTCTCTAATTGTATTTGGCACCTGAAGTAACCATCGGGACACATCATCGGACCGTATGTTACCACTGCGCAAGACAATGGAACTAATGCAAATTTGACTGAATTAATGTGTGCGGTGCGGGAGTACTCAATAAGTAAGATGCATCCAATAACTGCAGTTCACCACATTTAGTGTCGCAAACCAATCCGTACCTATCAGAGCATTCCTGAGAACGGATGACTAGTTCGGATAAGTAAACTGTCTATTCACGACCAATCACCTTATCGGAATCAGCCAACGAGTGGTTAAAACAGTTCACCCCTACGGTACACCAATCAGTTGCATAGATCTGGACGATTTATGCATCGCTTTGATGCTATCGAAGTGTGGCTAACAGCCTGCGATCCGCCTGAACGGTCCGTATCTGCCATGCCAAGCGAAGGAAACGTGAGGGTAGAGATACTACGAGGTAGCCAAGGCCTAGAGAGGAGCAGTCAAGAGGCCTGGGTCGGATTCGAATAACGAATCTTCTGATCAGCAGTTTCGCGCTTTACCTATGGAGCTACCTCAAGCTCCAAGAGCAATCAAATGGCGAAACTCTATTTTTACGGTTCTCAGAAATATGACAAGCTGTATACCTACAAAATTTGGATTTTCGATGGGACAAATTGTGCCCGAACAGAAGGTACCCATCTACTACCACTGAATAACTTAGGTTTACGAAACATGGATGCATTTATTAGAACTGAAGGGTGAAATAGCCAAAGATAAGAGCGACTTCAGAGGTCAGCACCATATCCAAGAAGGTGGATATAAATCCATCGTCCAAACACAAAACCGCAAGCGTTCACCAAGAACTAACCTGTAGGATAGACTGTCTGCAAAGGAACATCAACAAATCCCTCGATGACCGATCGATGGTCAAAATCAATTCCAGCACACTCAATACCGCCATTTGTGTGACCGTGTGGCCTCGAAGAAGATCCCACGTGAGAAGACAGTGGAAAGTGGACACGCCAGCAGCAGTGTCTGAACCCCTGAGAACTTCCGACTCTGCCCAATGGGAAACTGACAGCTTAGATGCGCTAGCAATTGCGGACAAACATCCCCGGAGAACTTGGCGACGGTTCGAATCTGGTTGGCTTTCAGACGTGCGTTGACCTGAAAGATGAGCGATTCGAGTAGTACTGCGTAATAAGTCTTGTCGATTAAATCAACACGACGCCTACATGATAGGAACAATGGTTAGTTAAGGGTAGGGACTGAACTTCAGTACGACCGTCGAACCTTGAATTGTTTTGCCATTTTGTTCTTGGATTACTCAGCCACCACAAGTAAGGTACGCCCTGCGGTCATCCTCCGGGTTAAAGTAAATTGTCGCCGTACCACTTACGAAGTGGTACAATTTTATTTTGCCAAAAGTAAAAGATGTTCCACAAATCAGACACAACCGATGGAAGAATGTTGCCCTGAGGTGAGATCTTGCTTTATCATTTATGGAGTCGATCCAATCGTATTTTTCTTCGTTTACTTGACCAATGGAAGTTGGACGAAGATAGCAAATACATCGTTATTCACGTGCATCACAAGAAAAACAAACCAGCACACCAAAAAATGACTCACCGAGAAACTGCCCAAAACGAAGCAAGTGCGCTAAAGTACCGTAGAAATTGGCTCGCATTCGCTGTGCGGATGATTCTGGGAAAGTGAGAAAGTCGGGTGAACAAATAAAAATAATAATATAATAATAATAAATAATAATAATAATGAGCGCGCCGCAGCATCACAAACTAGACCCTTGAAGGATGATCTATTGTCACACCTTCGCTACGCGGGATGCAGCCTCATGAAAGCTCTTATGGCCTTCCGAACCCGGAGGGAAATGTCCAAGTCGAGTGCGAACAAAGATCCTCAAGTCAGTAAGTTCGCACCTCAACCACTGAGCCATCTCGAGCTCTGATGAACACCGCACGGACAGCTAGTAGACGCTCCTAATAAGATATACGCAACAGCAACCGATTTAGAACAGTTTGACTTCTGAGGAAAAGACACCCCGTGAATTGGTCCATCGTTCCACCTGGCTTAGAAACCAACAAGACATCCAGTTGGACTATTAACATACGGAAACGGTTCCATTTGGGTCCTCTAGGACCCATACCACGAAGCCAGATAATTGGAGGAACTTTTGTTTCGCGCACCAGTTCGAGCTTACATGCGACCCTTTATATGGCATCCAGATTCGGACAGCGGCGCAAACCCCGTGTGTGCTTCCCTTGTGAACAGATTCGCGGAATTCATACAGACGCTTCTGTGCGTGTTTCCGGTCTTTGTAGATCCATTGTATGCATTCACTACTTGTTCGAAAGCTCCCTGCTTCGGTGTGTACCTTTACTATCAAGTCTTTCTGAGCAATCGTTAACCATTGGGTGATTTGCATTCATCAATATTGGTCTTGCTTTTCTTTCGGATCAACTGTTTCTCCCTAGTTTGCTTGGTTTACAGTCTGTGGCATTTACCTGCTGGATGTTAGTTGTAGCCTTATTTTGAAGTTTTATTGCGTCACATTATTGCTTATGCCATGAAGAAAAGCCTGCTTGCTTTTATTCCCAAAGACCATCAGTGATCGAAAAAATCGAGACCTGTGTGTTTTCCCTCAAGCATTAATCCAACGGTTAAAAGCAACTATAGTACTACAGTTGTAATGCGATATTTAGCATTAAGCACGACCAGTTCAGTTCAAAAGATGGGTTTCGCGACTGAAGCCGTCGTTCATCTGGTCGGTAACATCAAGTATCGCGTAATAACTTATTGGCCAAGACAGGATAGCCGCAACTCATAAACACGGAGTGACCGGCGCTTTCACGGGCTAATAAGAATAAGTATTATTCATAATAACCAACATCACGCATTCAACTAAAGACCTCAGAAATAGGAAATCAACATACTAGATTGAAGTATCATTCGTGTCAAAAGTCCAATGACCGAAATCAGAAGCGAGCCCGCTTGATTGTAGTCCGGATGAAAGGACTCCTCATTCCATTGCATCATCACCTCTACAGAGGTTAGATATGAGGACAAGTGAAGCAGTGTTCCAGATGCTAGGAGTCGAATGGTGGATGGTGTGTTTTCTGTTTCACAGAGCTATAACCAAGTAAAGGAGGATGAACGGCGATGTCAGGTTAACCAACGATAGCAAACAAAACTGGTTGTCATGAGAAAATCCTGTAATGTTATGAGATTAAGGTGAAACCCCAAAAAGATTATAGCCAAACATTAGCCTGCGTCCAACGTGGCGCACCTACTACTGATTATTCGAACCGTATCAGGTCACCAGATCAAACTCTTGTTAGAAGGCACTCCTCCTAACGAACATATTGCTCAACATTTCTCTCTCTTTCATTGGACTGTTTGTCCCATTCCATTCTTGATTCTTCGAATCTCGACATTGGCTGTTCAGTTGCTGCAGTATAATTTCCTCAAGGCTTTTTGTCTTCTCAATTTCGTGTATAACTGCCAAGGTTGATTGACTGAGTAGTAGAGAACATAACAACTCTAAACCGAGGAAAGTGACGTCATGACCTAACAACGATAATCGCTTTCACTATGAATAACACTGGTGCACACAATCAGGAAATAAAGACTAACAAGAAATGAGGGAAAAAGATGAATCCATAGCATAAAAACCCGCACCCCAAGAAACCGTATGGACATTTTGTCGGAATTAGAGGATGTAGGCGAGACCAATTGCCAAAATCTTTACGAGTCCCACCCAAGATCAGTTCGGTTCTCCGGTAGTCAGCAGATACGTCGTTTCTTGATGCTACGGTTTCGAAAAATGGGAGATCAGGGGCGATGGTCGATCATTTAGCTGATGTTAAATTATTCCAGTAGCTAGATGAAGGTAGAAATCTGGTGGCTGAGCAGTAACAGATTCCATGCGGAAGCGGACTGTCTGTCATTGACGCTGACCAGTGTTGAGTTGAGTGGTCTCCATCCAGTATATCGGTAGTTGTCAAACCGCGTGAATCTGTTTAGTGGGGCCTTCGGTTTAGGTCATAGGTTGTCCACATTTTGGTTCTACCCACAATCTGTGGGGTAGACGACCGTCTGACATGCGAACCATGTCCAAAATAGCATAGTAAGCTGACCGTTTGCGAGATAGCTCGCGACTCTTAAAACCAATTAGTGCATCTCAGCATCGTTAGGTCGATGTTCCCATTAGACCTAAATAACCCATCGGAGACAACAACCGAACAGCGAGTTTTTTTACGTGTATAGACCGCGTCTCTGATCCACGGAACAGTATAGATCGCACCACCGCGACGTACATCATTCTAGATAAGCAAGCGAACAGGATACTCTGAAAGTACAATGAAAGAAAAACTCCAACAATGCATTCCACTTGATGCACGAAACTATATATGCCTTGGTAACCGCTTATTTCGTACCCCATACGGATTCCAGATATGTGCAGGACCTACTTGGGCTCCACAAATTCCAACTATTGAATCATGTGAAATCTGATGAACAAAATTTCTTCACAGTCCTTTATTTAAGTAAATCCATGGTTTCCAAATCGCCACTAACGTTCCACAAAATTAAACTGGTCATGGGTCTGTGGTTGTAAATTGATTAGCTGTCATGAGCCTACTGGCCCTAAAGGTAAAACAAATAGAAGATTAATACCCAAAATTCCAAAACGTACCTCTTCCGAAAGCTTCGAGGCCATGTCTAAGCAAATCATGTAGAATGGGCGAGGTCTGGGACGGCTTGCCGATGAAGATGCTAGCGCGCCGAGTTCGGTTAAACCAGACAGAGCGTCCTGTGAAGTGAATGAAGCAGCGCTCTCTGAAAGCGATATGTTTCTGGTGAGGACCCCAGCCCCGATTTCCACAACCTCCCGCCAGGCTTCAAAAGCTGTCTGTTTGCCAGCATACAAGTGCAGCCGATGGACGTTACGAGCTTCAATCCACTGACACAATTTCCGCAGATCTTGAGCCAACTCAATCAACGAAGGAGTTCCCACGGATGGCCGTTGGGTGGTCGGATGGGATGAAGTGTCCTCGTATGCGACAGCAAACAGGTTTGCAAAGTCTTCCGCAGATACGGGTCCCAAAGTGGTGCGGCTGGCCAATAATTTGAGATACAGGTGATTGAGGCACAAGCCAGCATCCAAAAGGGTTGACACCTTTCGGATAGCAACTGAATCTGAGGCAAGGAGTGGACAAGCCATCTCACATTCAATTAGTAGCTGGAAAGGAACATAAATATGAGTGCAGTAGGCCGCTGTGAACGAAGAATACGTGAAACAAAACGATCTCAAGAGACTAAAACACACGAGACAATATTATGCGAATCGAACATCAATAAGGAGTGAAACAAGGCTGCACGATTGAGAAGCAATGTTGTGAGCGACAGTTTCAGCTGAGAGGAAGTACTTGCAACGTTAGACTAATAATGTTTTCTGTGCAAAACAGATGTTAGAAAACGAACGCCACCATGCGAGGATGCACTTGCATACATCAGGGAAAACTATCACCTGACCTGCGTAAAGCGCACAAAGCGTATTGAAACCGATGCTTCTCTTACAGTAGTGGGTGAAGCGTCATATGTCTAGTAGTCTCAGCCGAATAAAACCATTGTAGAAGCAGAACGATGGCGTCCTGTAGATGAAGTATGGGGGGTTATAATATCCTGACCAGCCGATTTCGGATGCGACCATAGCCACACAGACAGACTACGATAATACGCCCGTCGAACCCATGTACCGAAAAGTGATCACTGTTGCAAAAAATTAACTGCTTTGCCGCAGGTAATAACCTGATACTAGAAGCCCATTCGGGACCAGAACAGCGGAAGTACAGCTCGTTCAGCTGTAGTACCCTTTCGGTGCCTAGCTGCCATGCTACACGAAGGGGGCACGAGGGATGGGAAACGATGGGGAAACGATGAAAATAAGAACAACTATATGGGTAACGACTGCTAACTGATGTTGTTCACTAGAGGTATAAATACCAGCTCACCTCATCAATTAGCCGGGCATCCACAGTTCGTAAATCGAAAGATTCTGGTCCAGCGAGATGTTCCGCCACATTAAAAGTTCGAATGCAACGTCCAGGATGTTACATACTGAGTACAAGTTTGAACCAAATAAACATAAAACATCTTTTTTCAATCAATCTCTGAAACGAAAGAAAACATCGTCATTTACGGTATGAACACTCTCACAATCGAATAAACGCGAAAATGAACTAAGCCCTCTGGGAGCATCAATTAGTCCAGGTGCCTAGCTGCCATGCTACACGAAGGGGGCACGAGGGATGGGAAACGATGGGGAAACGATGAAAATAAGAACAACTATATGGGTAACGACTGCTAACTGATGTTGTTCACTAGAGGTATAAATACCAGCTCACCTCATCAATTAGCCGGGCATCCACAGTTCGTAAATCGAAAGATTCTGGTCCAGCGAGATGTTCCGCCACATTCAACCGACCCAAAAATGCACTGACTATCGCAGAGTCTTCGAGCAAAAGGAGGAACGGTGAATGGAAAGGGATTAGAAGACAGATCAGCAGGCGAAGTAATAACGTTAAACACCGGTCTTCAGAGTTTAGTTATGGTGCTGAGGACTGCGCATGACTACCGCTCTGTGATGAATAAACTTACGACCGCATTACTGCAGTAATGTGAACAACAAAATTGGTTACTTAATCGGGAACAAACAAGACCAGCTAGTCGATGAGATGTATGGTAAACCTGGGATTCAACCTCAAAGATAGGACCTATCTATCGAACAACGCCTCATGAACGAATCCGGTTCATCAGACAGGCAATGCTGAAAGTTGAACCAGATAACAATAATGGGTGCTTCTAAAGTAATTTCTCACTGGTATCTTGGAGGTCCATATGTTACTTTAGGATTAATTAGTCAGTTAGAGTGATAAGTCACCGAATTTCCCTCATTTGTTATACACATGACAGTAATCCATATCACAAATATGTGCGCAGTATACATATGTATGTGCGCAATATGAACTCGAGGAAGCTCAGTGGTTGAAGCGTGAACCCGCGCGTTCGAACCCGGTCTCTGCATCTGGACTGCTTCTGTCTAGGCTTGGGTAACCAGAAGCTGGTGATGGTGGTTAATCACATGGCCGTTGGTCTGTTCATCGAGCTTGGCAATTAGCCTGCAAGCGTTTGATTCCTAATCGAGGAGACACCGTCAGTGCGCAGTTGAGTGTGAAGTATCTTAGCCCTCGTGCTTCCTCCGGATCGCATTGCAGCAAGGTACCGAAAGGGTGTTAGGCTAAACAGTGAACATTCAATATGCAATGTGCTTGACGGAGCGGCCTGATAGATTACCGCCCGAACTGAAGAGTTTTGGAGCACCAAGCACATTCATATTTCAACTCAAGTGCGCCATGCGCACAGTGCCGCACAGGACCGCGACCAATTGAATCTGCGCAACTTGCACGCATCCATGCCTGAGCTGAATCAGACACACTGGTCACCAGCATGTATTCAGTTTAACCAACGCGAAATCACAAGTGAAGTGCCTACGTGGGTTTCTCCCATTTCCAGCAAACATGTCCCAAAAGTAAGTCTGCTTCGGAGTCTAATCAAAACCTGTCTGACGCTATTGCCGCACTACGGGTCGATAGTACTCGTGTAACGGCAGATACTACCGATGGGGATATGCGAGTAGTATGTGGTCTGGTAAATCCGCTTCGCGTCTCTCGAAAAGTGAGCTCTATTACGGAATTTGTGGAGTCGTATTTGCCTGTATTTGAGCAACAGACAATGAATATCCAGGAAAGACACGTTCAAGGAGAATATCGAGATTCCGTTTTGTAAACATGATGCATATGAGAGTTTTGCCTCCCTGTCCAATAGTCTGCAACTATTCAGTTGGCGTTCTCTAATAAATAATTCCGCAGCGAAGGCCTTCTTCCTTTCACCAGTAGCTTGCCAAATATTTTTGTCGTCTGGGTATCCATTCCCACCTAAAGGGCGCGGCATTGGGTATCCTCCAGTAAGTATTGGTACGGTAATTTGCCAGGGGAAGCATAGTATCTCGGAGAAACTTGGAAGGAACTTGACGGATGCGCTTGGCACCTTTATGTCACAGAACTAACAGTGACGCTCTTTCGTACAACACACCGCCTAGGTAAACTGATAACTACCAACTGGCTTCTACAAGTTTGCCTGCCGGTGTTATTCCTTCGTGACCACGTAACACCGCACTCGCCTCAGCGCAAACTTTTAGGTGCTCAGTTGATATGCCACCAAAAGGAGGCACGAGGGCTGAGGTATTGTGAGGTTGCCCAAGCACAGACAAGTACAGTCGGGAAGCCGTTGTAGTTGGACTACGAACCTTGCGGTATGTGNTCACAGAACTAACAGTGACGCTCTTTCGTACAACACACCGCCTAGGTAAACTGATAACTACCAACTGGCTTCTACAAGTTTGCCTGCCGGTGTTATTCCTTCGTGACCACGTAACACCGCACTCGCCTCAGCGCAAACTTTTAGGTGCTCAGTTGATATGCCACCAAAAGGAGGCACGAGGGCTGAGGTATTGTGAGGTTGCCCAAGCATAGACAAGTACAGTCGGGAAGCCGTTGTAGTTGGACTACGAACCTTGCGGTATGTGAGTTTGCGCCTTAACCACTGAGCTATCTCGAACGCAGCTCACACGAGTGTTTTGCTACGTCTAGTAGCGGCCATACACCCACAGTGTTTCAATCTCGGAAAGGAAAGAAACGGGTTTTGCACTCCGCTGTCCAACGTTATTCAATCAATGCTCGTCAGCTGCATCTTTCCCCAGCAGGAAATTTAGATGTTCCAGTTGGTCCAGATCCATGATCTTGAAAGATATCGGGGCCATTTGAAATTCGCTCATTGAACAACATCGGTTAATGTCGTGTGCTTGTGTGCGGAGTTGATCATTGCCAAAACGTGGCTCACGGCTGGAAAAACCTCAAGTAGCCACATGGGATCACTTTAGAGTTTAACACGGGTATCGTATTGATTATGCAAATGTCTGACAAAGACAGCCCGAAGACATTCTCCTTGGCGGTGCAAAATGTAACAGCGACCATTCTTCGGTACCAACAAAAGTGCACGCTTTCTTGAAACAAATACACAGCCGCCGAATAAAAGAACAACCAGTACAGCTGGCCTTCGAAAAACTGGAATACTCGGGAAGTATGACCGAAAATCAGACTCCCAGAACCAACTTATTGGTGGTCAGTAGACGAACAAGGAACTTTAATGAACACATGAGTGAACCAGTACTAAATAGTATTGAGAGGGGGAAATCGGCGAGTAAGATTTAGTCCAATAAAAACGACACTAGTTGAGCCGAAGAATGTAGCCCGCACCATAGTACCGAGGAGCATTCCAAATGCAATCACCCCACAGGAATCCCGAACTGCAAGAGCCAATATCTGGCAATGTTTAGGTGGGTCAAAGAAAGAAAGTTGGATAAAATGTGAATAAATTTTGTAGTAGCTAAATCACAAAAGTCGTTTTGAGCCCTCGCAAAAGTTTCTGGACCCCAGGACCAACTTCATCAACACATCTCGACTGATCAAAATCTCATAAAACCCGAAGGTATATTAGCTGTAAGGAAACCTCACCTCGGACTGCTCCACCAATCATTGGAATTCGAATGGAAATATTTGAAGCGGATGTCGCAATGTAAACAAGACATCACGGGCTATCTCCCAACTTGAAAGGACTACAAGCAGCGATTGGACAAATGCAAGACGGAAGACCATAGTCTCAGCCGCATGTACAGCCGGAAGAGTGCATACTAAGAACAAGCTTCTGGATTCGGAGTTTCTGAGCATGGATGATTGTTTGACCATTCACTGAGGAGTAGAATCTAGACAAGACTCTCATAACGCAGTGGTCAGACGTACGTAAAGATGGGCGTACAAAGTGAGCTAATTCGAAACGGTTAACTTGGTTTCTAGCTGCAAATTTTAGTATATCCGCCATACACTAAGTAACAAAAAAACTACAGGTAATCAAATGGTTGAAAAATAGTCAAGCACAAGATCAACTTAGGACATTAAGAAACATGTTGGGATCCTCTTATGGCAGTAATAAACAGGGGGAAACCCGTCGCACTCTACTTACTTTCCGGACAACGATCCGCTCCCGTGTCCACAGGATCAACCAGGAAATCTGGATCCATAAAAGACAAACGGATTAGGAATTAGCAGACGATTCCCAGGTTAGCGGATCACATCTGTCTACAAAATAAATGTGCAGCAACTGTCCATACAAGGTGAGCCATGAGGTGAAAGGGCTATCAGGTTTGAAAACGTTAAAAGTTCTTGGAACCAACTGCCACATAAGGCAATGGGGTGTTCTTCAAAGTGCATTATGCGGGAAAGAGAATTTCTCATCTCCTGGGGATAGCCCCTCTTAGGTGGGAGTTGAACAACAGGTAGCTTTTGTGAGTTCTTCATGAGTGACATTTTATGGTATAGAAAAGCATAAATATCATTAGAAAATCTGTTTGGTAGTGTATCACGTTCAAATACGCAAGGGTGACGACTTGACTAAGAAGTCAACATCACCTCAGCCTCCAATCGAGTGTTGCGTAGCCTCAACAGAAAAAGCAATTTAAAAAAATGTGTCAAAAACCCCAAACGGGTGTCTCACCTCCGAAGAATAAACTGAGAAGGCGCCCAACATACGATCTTTGGTTGCCCGTCGCCGCTGTACGGAGTTCAATTGCTAGCGTGCGCAAAAACCAACTGCTATGGTTCAGAGACAGCATTTCCAAAGCTTTAAAGAAGAAAAACAATACAACAGATATGACTACCTCAAAATGCAGTGTGAGCAGAACCCAGAGAACGCTATCAAGGGGATAACCAGAGGATTAACAAAGCTACATCCGGCCATCCAATTCCGAGATACAGAGTGAAAGCCTGGTTACCTAACACTTTATGTTTCTTTTGTACCAACATACCACTCTCATGAGAATTTGTCATGTGGCTCATATCAGAGATTATCTGGGTAGCGTAGAGGTTCGTGGCGGCACTCAACCATAAATATGCAGCAGTATGAGATACCTCGCGCGATCACACCGTCATTCTCACAAGCAAACACTGGGATAGAACCGAAATTCTATCAGAATAATGCAAAAGTTCGCATCAAACGTTTCGTACTAGTGAAACACTCATGAGATAAGCACTCCATGAGGGGACCTTTACATCATTCCAACTGTTATACTCTAAGCTAAGTACGATCTAGTGTTGTCAACCTTGAACACAGGACAACTTAGGACAATAAAATCCTCCTAAATGATGTTCACTTTCGACCTATCCCTTCAGGAACCCAATATGACGCTCGCACAACTAGGTTTCACCGATCCATACACCACTATTTCCACAGTTCTCTCGCCTATATCAGATAGTGAACTCAGATACACTCGATTTCACGGGTAAGATCGGATGACAACATTCCAACAAGGTCCACTTATTTAAACCGACTGTTTTCAATCGGTCTCATCAGTGGAGATTGTGGAGGATCCACATGAATGAACAATGTGCGGAAAAAGTCACTGCACCTGGAGCGCACTAACCTTTTTCGTGGGTGAAAGTCACAAGCCTCCTGTCAAAGAGTTGAGGGGATGCAGCAGCTCCCGGAGTTGTCTTGAAGAGTGGACGATAGATACCGAATTTTAGGTGTTTCGCCAGTAGATCATGGTTTCCTCGTAGGAATCGCAACAGGGCCTCAGATGTGAGAGGACTGATCACCAACCGGTAAATGATTTGCCAACTAACTGCTAGGGCCCACTGAAGAGAGATCGCCAAGGCTTGGGGCAAACAGGCGATTGTTGGACCGAGGCGCAGGCCTGCATCGAGAAGATCCAGAATGGCATGAAGGCAGGTTCGAGGTTGATCTCCAATTCCAGCATCCTAAATAGACGGTCGGATAAAGGCAGAGTGAGTCACACCAGTACACGCGGGCGGATATGTACAAGCAGGGAAAAGTAACCGAGCTGGAAGCCTATACGGACCAGACAGCACAAACTGATGAGCAAAAAGGACTTTACAGAGCAAATTCATCTGCACTGATATGTAAAGGACAATGACGAAATAAAAATAGCTCTGTACCTGTAAGGTAGTATTGGCCACAGCCGAGGTACTTTCGATACGAAATCCAAGGAGCCAATGAGACAAATTTGGAGCTGGCTGATCCATGGCAGCCAGTATGATGTGAAGCATGCGAACCGTGAAACAGTCGGCCTGGTCACTAACAAATTGCTCTGTAAGAAGGCAAGACACATCAATATCAAGGAAACCCTTTAAAAAGAGCACATGGTGGATGATGCCCTCTCTATTAAAGATTTACTTCGTGAATCGCCCAAATTTAACTATTCCAAAAAACATCTACCATTAGTAAATAGTAAACCGTAAACACCATTGGACATGGGGACAATGGAAAATAAGACAGCCTCAAAAGCACATTGAACTATCAGAAAACAACATTTTGCCACGACACTACTAGTAACCAGGATGCATGTCTATTACTTGTTTACCACTAGCCGGTTACAACACCAAATCGTCCATCCAAATTTATTGTCCACCTGCCTAACCTGCATAACATAACGAAACTTCACAACTTCTCGGAAGGAAGTGCACTCTCCTCAGGTAAGTCTGGAGAGCCGTAGAGAGCAATCCGCACTGAGTGTACGTTTCAGGACCAATCGTCTGAAGTTCAGGTTCGAAGGTGACAAACCAGGCAGCGATCGGTCCCATTTGTGAGCAATATGTACAGGGCAGAATTGGTCTAGTCAGACTGGCACAGTTGTACAGAGTCGGATTATGGCGGTTCGTCCTCACGAGGGCCTTGAACTCAAGAATCTCTCCCACCTATAGGTGGTCAGGCCCAGGATGATATTCTCAAAATCCTACTGCTCGATCACAGCTTCACGAAACTACTAAACACTGGCCACTTTTGGATGCATTGAAGTAGCGATAAACCTTTGCGATTGCTAGGATGGGAGTTCGTTATCACTAGGCGATAATACTGAAATATCGGTGGCTGCTTGACTACCCCCTAGTCGTAACACGACAGCCTGAGTTCGGGACATTTGAAAGCACGACAGCGTTTCCTAAGCAAGGCGATCATGTTACACCCCTAAGCCATTTTTAGTTAACCTTCGATCGGGCTATCTAAATTGCATTGGGAAGCATACGGTCAGTAGTAAATGGACATGAAGGGACAAACTCTGGTGTGGAAGAGGAGTCGTTTGTGTCGAAAACCATCAGAGTTGGGCACACTTAAATGGTTATGATCAAATATCCTTCGGAGAAACGGAATGAGGCGTGTTTCTACTCCGTTCATTCACCAGCAGACCAATATCTGCACGGTTGTTCCTAAATCATCATGAAATGAGAGGCGAAGCCGACATCTTGCGTATGTTGTAGTCGTTAGAAAGATGAAGAAAATTATGACACAACCCACCGTAAAGCCAGTTGGCTGCACCGAGAGTACTCTGTTTCCTGAGTGGGCTAGAGCGGTCTAGTGATTGTGATAAATGACCGGTCACGATTGGTGCCAGCACGGAGGGTCTCTGGGTTGGCCAGGCTGCTAGAAGCTCCCAGTCTCGAGAACAGAAGAACCAGCTCGGAGGTTGATACGGCAAGGCGGCGTATAGGCGAGCAGCTCGTAGACATGGATGTGGCGACTGGCTAGAAGAAACACCAAGAGAAGCTAATTGTGTTTGATTATGACTCTCGTTAGCACCAAAGAGCCACTCGTCTGTGAAACACGCCGCCGAGTGGTCCATTCCATTCGAGAGGGCAAAGCAACCATTAGTGTCGGTGTCATCTGTGTTACTCTTCTGAGTGGACCAGCGTAGAAGTGATGAAAAGGTGTTCAGCAGATCACGACGAACATCCTATAAGATAGAAATTAGATGCTACATTAGCGGCAGCTAGTGACAGATAATGACAAAGAAACAAGTACGAGTAGCAAGTGCGATTGCTCGGTCCCGAGATAAACAAGTGCGTACCCGGTCCGCAGTTAGAAGAGACACAAGGCTGGAATGAGGTTTAATCCGCTCGATCAGAAGGCTCAATATCCCAATGGCGCACGAACAGTGATCCGGGAGTTCTTCGAAAAGAGTACAGTATCTGCGTGAAAAGAAAGGAATTGGACTTCGCGTTAATATGTTCATTCCATCATATCAGTGTATGGAAGCAAGAAATACTGCCGGAAGTACCCACACGTCCCGCAACCAAATATATTCCGCAAGTTCGAAAAACGAACAGATGGTATACAGCGCATAGTACACTACACCAATTTAACAACCCGCCTTGAATGGAACTCTACTTCAAGTACAATTCTACAGTTGCGCACGAGGGAATCCGTTTGGTTCTTTCAAAGTAGTGCAGAAACTGGACCAGAAAAATTGAATTCCGCGGGAAACCGTCAGTTGAGGTATCCCGAAACCACATAACCTTCTGTATCCACATATATATCCCAATACACTTCCCTCGGGGCAAGATAGGCTCTCTAGGCGTGACTTACATCCTCGGGATAGAGTCGCATGGACTGCCTAAGTGAGTTGGTAAGAAAAACGATTTTCATTACACTGAGCAGCCTAGAAAGGGTGGACCTAAAGTGCGCTGTTTCCAATATGGTAACCAAATGCACAAGAAGCCCAAGTATTGTCAGTCCGATCAATACTCACCCCATTTCTAGCTTAAAAGAATCACTGACGTGCATTCCTAGAACAGAAACAGGTCAGGAAAGTAGGCGTAGTTCGATTCGACAGAGGACTACCCCCCCCCCCCAAAAAAAAAAAATTGGAATTCCGCGGGAAACCGTCAGTTGAGGTATCCCGAAACCACATAACCTTCTGTATCCACATATATATCCCAATACACTTCCCTCGGGGCAAGATAGGCTCTGTAGGCGTGACTTACATCCTCGGGATAGAGTCGCATGGACTGCCTAAGTGAGTTGGTAAGAAAAACGATTTTCATTACACTGAGCAGCCTAGAAAGGGTGGACCTAAAGTGCGCTGTTTCCAATATGGTAACCAAATGCACAAGAAGCCCAAGTATTGTCAGTCCGATCAATACTCACCCCATTTCTAGCTTAAAAGAATCACTGACGTGCATTCCTAGAACAGAAACAGGTCGGGAAAGTAGGCGTAGTTCGATTCGACAGAGGACTAGCCCCCCAAAAATACTTGGTATGTAGGGTAAACAACATATATTCGAGGAAACATAAAGAAAAGTCTACTTCCGTAGTGCTTCCTTCCTTACAACATTCGTCCATTTCCGACATTTCCCAAACCTGAAGAACATATCAATGTGAACGTACTGCACTTCGAATCATAAGCGCAAGAAGCTGAAATATTTAGTGGCACAATCAGTTTTCCTACGTTCCACGCCACCATCATTCTCGCTTCAATCCGAGAGTTCCACAGAAACTGAACAGCCATCTAGCAAGACGGGTATCAGTGGACTGAAGATCTACCAATAACTATGCATTCTTGGAGCGCGAGTTCGAGCTAGTTCGGTTGTTAGGGCGCGAGCTTACTGACCCGAGAGATTGGTGGTGCGAACCCAACTTTGGCACCTCGATTTCTCCGGTCTATGCGTAAATAACCTGATAGTAACTCAACTGCAGTGCATACTTCCGGTAGCGTGTCAACTATGCACCGAAGGGGCGATGGACGAAACTTCAGACGCTGTGTCCAACAGGAAAGGCCTCAAATCAGTAGGCTCAAAGATGGTATCTACCTCGGCGGTGGCAAGGCCACTGAACCTAATCACTTAACGATCGTTGGTTTGCTCCCTGAGCTGAGCAATTTGATTGCAAACGTTTCATCACCAATCGGGCTGACGTTACCAGAGCGTTATTGGGGAGCGTAGTGGTGCATAGCGATGGGTTGGTGGCTGTGCCTCACTTGATCGAATCCATACCCAGGGAAACACCGGTAGCATGTCGCTCTTGATAGATGGCAACGACGTTTGAGAACTGAACCAAATACACACGAAGGCAGTTCTCTCACTTGACTGAAATAGGATATAGTTTGGAGCCGTCTTTCACTAGAGCTGCCCATGGTAGTCCTCGTTATGAACCGAACGATACCTGCTGCAGGCGGCGAGATGCATCCAGAGATCGGAAAGGCTGAAAATTCAAACCCTTCACGAATGGCCAGAATGCAATCAAGCCCGTTAGAATCTGTAGACCTCTGTTAGGGAAACTGCAACTGATGTTATACTTTTGCTGAACTTTGTAACCCCTCTCATTGCTGGCTTCGAAATGCTTTTTTAGTCCTACAGACAAATTCTTTAGCCTTTTGTCTTAGAAAATTGTCCGCCATTTGCAAATGGGAAAGAGATGCAACTGGGTCACCAGACTATGATTAACGTAATCAGGTGAGCCTTTAAAACTTTAATGCCCCTGGCAGCTCCCTCATTTCGGCTCCGTTCGTGAGGTTAAGTCAAACGATTACCCACCTTAAGTGCATCAGGGTTACACGACACAACAAGCGATCATTGAATAAACATCTCTTTCAGAGAAAATTCAAGCTTCTGAAATTTCCTTATTGTGATTGTTCGGCGGTCTGATAGTAGGCTCCAGTTCATTCAAACGAGAAAGAAACCTTGATAAGGATTTGATCCCCAATGGTGAACCGTACAGGTCGGTCAACCAGCGCTCCTTCACCATTACAATCAATGAAATGGTGAATTAACGTAACCAAATCAAGCGAAAGGGCACCACGGTCCAATAGGTCATTCAGTTTGCTTTCACAACCAAGCAAAAGTGAATCAGTTTGGTCTCCCTTGCAATAGCTTTATTCATATTAGCCGTCTCAGCTTGTCTCTAGGGTAGTAAACAGCCAACCAACCAGTGGCATGACATGATATGATCGACTGACGAATGTATCGGGGCAAAGAAGTGGTGTCAGTGAAACTTGGAAACTCTGACATGCTGAGCCACTTTCTCCTCCAGTGGCAAGTTCAATGAATTCGCGACATCCAGACCAATCGTACAACGTGACGCCAGACTGTACTGTTAATTCAACTAGGGCAAATTAGGCATAAGAAGAATAGCTTAATCGTCATAATGAGTCGTTTATTGATTCGTGAAGCACGCCATGAGAGCTCAGTTTAAACCGGAAATTTCAGCAACTAAAGTGATTTGGCAATCACATACTTATTGTTTTGGCAACAATTTGAGCTCATGTAGAGACAAGGTCAAACCCCGTTACTGGTAGTTTAGATTCACGTAAACGTTGTCGCTTTAAGTTTATGTCTACGAGATCAGCATTCTGCATGGAGAATTGGTGATTAGTCAGCAAGTCTCAGATTATTAGTTTCGAGGGGCTGTTTGTCCCGGAAGCATCAGTGAGGTCTATACAGTTGGTAGCCTAAAAATGGGAGAATTCGTTCGTTCTATGGTGTAGAATCTACTTATTGTTTTGGCAACAATTTGAGCTCATGTAGAGACAAGGTCAAACCCCGTTACTGGTAGTTTAGATTCACGTAAACGTTGTCGCTTTAAGTTTATGTCTACGAGATCAGCATTCTGCATGGAGAATTGGTGATTAGTCAGCAAGTCTCAGATTATTAGTTTCGAGGGGCTGTTTGTCCCGGAAGCATCAGTGAGGGTCTATACATTGGTAGCCTAAAAATGGGAGAATTCGTTCGTTCTATGGTGTAGAATCCCGGGAGCCTGACACTTAGAAAAGACCAGTGTTTTCAGCCGTGCTTCTCCAAAGGATTCTTCAGTTGGTCAGGTGACTACCTCACACCAGAAGAGAGTATGTGAGTCGACTCGATGTAACAATGATACGGGTGACTGAATACGTTCGTTACAAAAGGCAGAAAGGGATAGCGTATTATCACCAAAATGATTTCCCGTCACGATTCTGATCGTCAGCTGTTGACCTAGGAAACAAGATTAGACGGCATCCATCTTGGATTATTTGTTCTGAAAAGTGAATTAGTCGCATCGAATAAAATGACAGCACCCTCAGCCTAGTTGAGTGAAACCCTGGTCAATGGGGATCGTCCCAAGCTCGACCATCATGAGTGATGCGTGCGAGATACTAGAAATAGGACTTACTTCAACAACATTGGGATCAGGTCAGCTCTCCCTGTACGAGAATTAATGGACACCAGCAGCTTCGACAGGCAAGTCGGCAGCGTATTAAGCACCATAGGAGTAGGTAAAGAAATAGTCTTCGTTGTCGCGGACACGCCGAAGCTGTAAATGGAAGTGTGATTCATTCAACAGGCCATGCATTTGTCTCGATAAAACTGTTAGCAAGGCAGTGGGGCGGTTGACAAGAGAATCAAGGACCTTCATACATAAATCACCTCAGAAAAATGTTAGGAGTAAAAAGACCTCCTGGAAACTTAGAATAACTTGACAGGAGAGTGCCAACACCACATGCGACAATTGGCGCTCAGCCAATTACAGGTTAACCGCATCGCTTACTATGCTTCGCCGTTAGGTTAGTTAGCAACCTAAAAAGCTTCTGTTCAGTGTCCGGAAAGGAAGGACAAAGAATGCTCGTACAGAGAGCCACTATTACTCAGTACCGTGTGCACGAAAGGTACACAGTTAGGACACCGCCCTTAAACTGTGCTGTGTGCCTTAATTCAATATATATAT